TTAGAGCATTAGTATTTGATATACAAAAGGCAGAACCAAGTGTTGACCTGAAAGGTGTTGAAAAACTTATCAACTACCATTCTTCTTGGTATACGCTAAGAAAAACCGTGACATGGATTTTGAGGATCGGCAACAAACAACTTCATCGTATTCAACGAAATAAACTTCTTGACAACCCATCATCTAATGAAAACGTTGGATCCCCACCAGATGACTTGGGACACATTGTGAAGCGAAACAGTTACATCCAGTTTTGGATGAAGATGGACTTTTGCGGGTAGTAGGACGACTTCAGAGAGCCAATATGCCAATTGAATGTAAACATCCTATTATCTTACCCGAGAACCATCACAGTTCGACTTTGATTCTCATACAAATCCATGAAGACTTGAAACATAGCGGTAGAAACAATATGATGGCAGTTTTGAGGGAGAAATATTGGCTAGATCACGCAGCTTCAGCAATACGTAAACTTGTTTCAAAGTGCACGTTATGTCGTCGTCAAGGATCAAGTATTGGAGAACAAAGATGCCCAGTTTACCAGAAGATAGACTGATCACAGACGAACCACAATTCACCAGAGTAGGTGTAAATTATTTTGGACCATATATCGTGAAACAAAAGAGAGGTCATGTGGAACGATATTGAGTTTTATTTACAGGTTTGACCGGTCGTGCAGTTCAATTAGAAGTAGCAGCATCTCTGGACACAGACTCATACATCAACGCACTACATCGCTTTATTGTGCGCCGAGGTCAAGTTGTCAGGATGCGATCAGACAATGGTACCAACTTTGTAGGAGCTGAGCGGGAGTTAAGGAGTGCCATCAACGAATGGAATGTGTCTCAGATTGACGATTCTATACTACAGAAGAATATTGACTGGAAATTTAATCCACCTGCGGGATCTCACCATGGGGAAGTTTAGGAAAGAATCATCAGATCCGTCAGAAAAATCTTGAATAGTGTACTGAAAGAACAAGTTTTTCTGGATGACGAAGGACTTTATACCTTGATGTGCGAAAACGAGTCTATTCTGAATGGACGACCCATTACAAGATGTTCAGATCAACATGATGACCTGGAGACCTTAACACCAAATCACTTACTGTTAATGAAAACAAAACCCAACTAACCTCCTGGTGTCTTTGTGAAAGAACACAACTATTGTAGACGACACTGGAAACAGATTCAGTACATGGAAAGCCTTTTCTGGAAACACTGGACACGCGAATATCTTCCCTTACTTCAAGAGAGACAGAATTGGTGTGAAGAAATAATAAACTTCAAAGGGGGTGATATCGTTTTGGTTGTGGATTCTAATGCTTCGAGGAATTCGTGGCCCATGGGAATCATTCAAGAAACTTTACCAGATGAAAAGGGCTTTGTGCGTCAAGTGAGAGTTAAAACTTCATCGAACAGTTTGATCCGTCCTGTAGATAATTTGTGTCTTATTCTAGAAATGGATTAATTTCTGTAGATTTTGTAGATTTTGTATATTTTTGGACTCTGTTAGGATTATTTTGGAGTGTGTGTACATATATGCAGGTATCATGATTTGACAATATATGTTCTACATTGTAACTTTTTGTCAGAGTTTTTTTAATCAAAACATTGTATGATTTTTTTTTTTTTGGTTTTGAATTAAGCTTTTTGGGAGTAATTGTGTCACTATGCTCCACAATTAGGGGGCTGGGTTGTTATAGCCATTTACTCATGCTCAAATTTTAGCGCCATTATGTCAGTGTATTACTTCATAAATTTTTGAGTACACATAATATCCTTGAGTACTGCACGAGCAGTGGTATTCGCTGGAAGGTATCGTTCTCTGGTCTGTACTTTTGTTCAATGCTTCTCTGGAATTTGGAAAAAAACTACTTGTTCGGTAAGCCCATGATTCAAAGACCAGCAAACCCATATGTACATGTATATGTATTCATTTTTGTATTTATTCATGAATCATTATCTTTGATACTCTGATAATGGTCTATATAGTCGAGCATATTGGTTAATCATTACTTATTATGTAAAGCTACATTTATAGATTTATTGTATTGAACACAGTAATTTTTGGATTATTTATAGATTCATTGATAGGTCTGCATATTTATACTGTTTGGGATAGTTGTTTAATGCATTAGGCTAAAACTGTGCATCGCATGGGCAATAACTCTTATATCTGTTTGTAAACATGAGTTTCGAAAATTAGATATTTTTATGCATACTCAGCAATATATATACAGGGTTCTCCATCATTTTAAATTTTACTGTGTTGCAGGGTTTACGCTACGCGCTAAAATTTCGCGGTATTTTCGCGATCAAATTGGCAACTGAATCACTATTCATTGTAATTACAAGACAATACATTCACACACTTTAAAAAAAATCGCTAATTCTTTACAAAAACTCAGAATAGTAAAATATATATATTTTTTTTCAATAATAAAATCTGTTTTAATCGTGGCAACTACCAATTAGGCCGAGCCGTTGCATGGAAGTGTGAAAACAAATTATTTGTCTTTGTTCCTTCATGTGTTAAGTCCGGCAAAGGTCTAGGAGATAATTGATCATGCAAGATGAAGCCTTAGTAATTAAGTGCTCTACCTTTTAGAATTGAAAGACGGTAGAATTGTTTGAATAAAGTTTCAGTTAGAGAGAAGGATTTTCTAATTGTCACTTATCTTACTGTGTCGGCAATATTTTTACTGTGTTGCACGCATAAAATTTGAATCGGTAATAAAATTAAAAATATACCCTTTATATAGAACGTTAACTTATAATGTATTATGTTTGGTTATAATCTTGATATTGATAGCATATATTCTGGCATATATTACTATTTAACTTTTCTGAATAATTAAATATACCATTTTATGGTATGGTGATTATATGAATCCGCATTTCTTTATGTTTTGTATACTCTAGAAGGTTTCTTTTATTGGGCAATAAACCAGAGAACTTGACATTAAATAAAAGAAAATGTAATTCAAAGGATATGTTTGCCCCTTAAAAACGAAAATTAACATGTTTTTAAACTTTTCAAACAATCTTTATTCACGTAAACTAAAAGATTTTGCTCATGATATCATAAAATATTCACAATGCTATTTCACTTTATTTCATCACAAAGTTTTTATAAGCAATGGCTTAATAGTATCAAATATAAAATGTATATATAATAGTGCTTTAAAAACACATAAAGAAGCTAAATCCTTGCAAATAATTCAAGGACTCTTTTGTTTTAAACTAAAAAATTAACACAATCAGTAATCTAACTAAAACACAAAATGTGTAAAGAGCAGGAAAATGAAAGTCAATCTCCGTATAACAAGATAAAGATTTTAGGATAAGGAATTTGGTTGCTGATAATATTTGTGTAAACATGAGAACACAACACACATATGTGTACATTTGGTATAAAACTTATGACAATCATTGGATATAAACATATTCAGATAATTTTCCTCTAAGTTTTTTATGAAGATGAAATCAATGTGTAATTAATCAACTCGGAACCGTAAGAAAAAATCAGAAGTTTCTTAATTTTTTTCTGGAATTGAAATGGTCTACATTCCAATTTCTTTTTGAAAATATTTCTCAGGTTAACCAAAAAAATGTTTTCACATTAAATGCATTTATTTGTAAAGACACAAAATATATATGATATATCAAGATTTCTTTGTAAACTCTGAATTATTATCAATCAAGTGTATCAAGAAAGTCATACAACCTTACAGTGATAGGAATGAATTAGAAAAGATACTGAATCTTTGATGTCAAAAGGTAGCTATGGCCCAGGAGTTTGAGGTTTAATGCTAAACTGGATTGCCTCCACCTGGATATCACATATGTAAAAAATTTGTATCTGTTTTTTTCTCTGCCCACGTTTCATTTAGGCTAATGCTTTCAGTACACATACTTGGGAAACTCACTGTAACAGCAATTCAACACAATTTCAGCTCTATGGTAAAAGTAATAACTGGAACTTCATATCTAATAATCAGAATTACATCTCTACCTTGATTACATTCTCACTATTTCATTCCTATGACATTTTTCGCATGCTCGACTTTAGCTATGATTGCCACTTGAGCATATTTCATTATGCTATGGCCGTATATGTTGGATTGTGTTTGTGTCTCAGCTTAATCAAAAAAAATTTAACATTACTGTTCTTTGCCTCAACAGACACAAAATTTCAGATATATAAAGATTTTGTTTGAAGAATTATTATCAATCAAGTGTACAATTAACACAATCAGAGTAATTATAATCTGAAAAGTAGAAATAAAATCTTTATTCTTAAAGTACCCTTAATAGAAATGTCATATTTGATCGTCTAGAAACTCTTCAGAAGCATACTGACTTCCTTTCCATTTTTATTTGATTTCTCACTGGTTGCTTAAAATAACATAGAGAAAACTGAGATATATATATAATGTAAAAGTAATTAGGAACTAAGAACATAATCAGAAAATATTTTTACTATGTGATTACATTTGGAAATTGGTCAGATTTGTATTTTGGTTACTTTCTTATGTGTGATAAAATTTTGTAAATCCATACGATGCATTAGAGTCACAGACATCACTTTTGCAGTCAGTATAAAGTATTTAGTAGTTGAATTCAATAATGCATAAGTGAATAAACAGGCAAAAACATGAACAGATTGTTTTCAATTTTTCAACCCAATAAAAGTTTTTTTGGTTGTCAGAGAATCAAATTAAAACGTTTCCAACCAAACATGACTGTGACGGTGTAGTTTGCGCGTAACAACGTACGTCACAACAAGATAGGGCTTTTCATCTTGATTTTTATAGCATGTTTACACTGGAAAAATTTAGTATTATAGTATTTAGGTTTTAATTATTTCACAATTATAATTTTATTAAGTTGTTAAGTAATTGAATAACTGCCTAAACAACTTAGAAAATCTAAATAGTTGAGTATATAGTTGGTGATATATATATCTACATTTTTTGTGGTACAATTTTTGTTCACCTCGATTAGAATTATAACAGATGAGGCCAAACAGAGGTCAAAAGACCATCCCCTTTCTAGGTCAGGATAATCTCGAAGAATTAGCATACATCCAGCAAAGGCTAGAATACCTAATATAAAAAAGGAAATATAATTATATATTATAAATATATTACATCAGTCATCTAAAAAATATATTTATAGCTGTTAGTGTAATTTCACTTGTTAAAAACAAAAGAGTAAACAAAGAAAGAAAACAAAATCAGAGTCAGTTTTATGAATATCACTATTTTAACTACAAAGTTAAGGCTCATCTAAACAAACTGTACCTTATTCTTTTCTCTTTTACTTTTTTTATCATTATCTTTTTTTAATAAAACCAATTAATTTTATAACTATTTAAAATATAAAACCTTACAAAGACAAGTCAATACCTGATATTGGATAAAGTAAAAAAACAACGAGGGAACAGCACCACAAACTAATAGGAAAGTGTTGTCTGGGTCTTGAAGAGCAAGTCCAAATACAACTGAGAATGGGATTTGCACGATCATGAAAGCAAACGCTGTGATTTGAAGATTTATAGTTGCTGCATCTAATTCTGAAGTACAGAATAAAATCATATATGATTCTCATTTTTGGCCCCTTAAAAATTTGTTAATGAATAAACATTTGCTCCATCTTTTTATGAAAAATGTAAAAATAAAATTAGAATAACATGTCTACTCAATCAAGGTATAATTCTCTAGAATTTGTTAACCAGACTTTCTATTTTTAAAGAAAACATTTAATGTTCAAAAATGGTTTAATCCTTCAAATCTTATGATTAATTATACTAAAAATAATCTCATATTTGATAATGTAAATATATTCCACACTTAATATGAGAGGATTCATGAACATGCTATGCTTATGACATATGTTATCCAAAAACCTGTCAAGAACAGCAAAAATATGCAATTTTTGACTACTTCCTGTTTTTTTTTTACCGGAAGTGACATCACAAGACGTATTTTGACGACGCCATTAGATAAAGCTTGATATTTTAAACAATTTTTGCTTCTTTAAAACAGCATACACTAAATAAATCTTCTTTCCCCTTACATCTGCCTTTTTGAATTCCATTTATAAAATCGAGGCTTTCTAATGTAACTTTTTATCTCTACAAATATCATAAGTTCATTCCTTTAATCAATATTTGAAGAGTTTTACATTGCTTATCGGTGTTTAATCGATCAGGCTTAAGGGCAGATGATACAAACAAATATTTTCTTTGGATGAGACTTGATATCATGTTTCAAGTTTAGAAAAGTGGATAATTCTTAAGATTTTTACTCCAAAAAACAGGAAAATGAAATACACTTGGAAAATAATAGTAATGTTTCAATAAAATTACAAATATGGATATAACACACTCAGTAAAGGATTACAGATGAAAATAAATTTTAGAATATGTTATATTGGTGCTAAAACTGTAATATAATCTTTAGAAAAGTATACCAAGCTAGGTGAAATTTATCAGGAAAAGCAAAATGGTAAAAATTAGTATATGTGATATTGATGATTTTTTGTCATTTTGTTATTCTTCCTAAAAATCACCTGGCTTGGTATATTTTTCTATTTATAAAAGTATAATTTTAGCAATTTGTTAACCATACTTTCTGAAAGTTGTTTTCAAAGAAATCATTTAATGTGATTTGTCTATTTTTCTTTTTTCATTGAAATATATATCTAATATTTTAATGCAAATTACATTTTCCACACTTAATAAAAAATGAGAGAATTATGAACATGCTTTTCTAAACTTGTGACATGTTATTAATTCTCTTCCAAAGAAAAAAATTGTTTGTATCATCTGTCCTTAAACTGTTAAATATTTTATAATTCGGAGAAATTTAAACTTTACAAATATTTCTCATATGGTGATAGACAAAACCTTATTTGTGGTTAATGCATATGCCTTTGTTTATGTTTCAATTAGCATCAGCTACATATCTAAATATTTATATTCACTGTGTTTTTTCTACTAAGCCAACTGTGAAACCGATTTGAAAACCATTTCCGTGTATACTCACGCGTAGAAATATACTTTTTGAATTCCATTTTTACGTCACAATGAGGCTGCAGCGACGTTAGTAAAATGCAACGATATTCATTCGAGAAATTTAAATTTTGAAGTATATTTTAAATTGCTTATCAGACATGTAAAATGTAAATATAAGGAATGTTTTTAAGTTTAGTGTAAAATATTGGTGTGTGAATCACACAGACTTGCACGTAGGCATATTTTTCATTAAGCGCTAGCACGCTTCATGAAATATGCCTACGTGACAAGTCTGTGCGATTCACGCACCAATAACTCACACAAAACTTAAAAACATTCCTTAAATGAATATTTTAATCAAAGGCCTAAATTGGCAGGGCTTTTTGTTTTTTTGAATTTTGTTGAGGATTGTCTATTTTAAAGATCTGACTTATTACTGATACATGTAATTTTAAAATCGCAAATTTATGTTTAAGTACAGTACTAAAGGACAAACATTTGTATGTTCGTGATAATTTATTTGTCTTTTTTCGTCTCATTGAAATAGCTAGAAAATCCAAAACACAATTTAAAAGCCTAAGACCGGTTCTATATATCTTCATGACATCAATGCAATTTTAAATTCTTACCTTTTGTATTTTCAGGACAGTCAACATTGTTTATGATTCCAACAAAACAGTCTGAAGAAGCATTAAATTTTACCCAGTACGGTGACACAAGGCCACACGTCTCCAATATGATAGAAGGCAAAAACAAGAAGCTAAAACAGCAGATGTAAACATAACAAACACCCAAATCCATTATGATACGAATCCTTGAACTAATTGACAGCCATTTTCATCTATTTATAAATAAGTCGATACATCATGGGTTGGTCGTATATTCTGGATTGGATTTAAAAGGGTGGCATACGCGTGCTTGTCGAACCGAGAAAAAGTATCAGTTCAAAAAAAGGAGAAAAAGAAGTATGCCCTAGTTTTCAGTGAATAGATTTCATTTGCCTTATGATTGTTAGGGAAGTTAACATGATGGCATTTTTCCCTTTTAATTCGAAATACATTCCATGAAATATGTGTTTCCATAAACAATTCATATTTGTTGCCATTAGCATACTAAATATACATAGACAGATTTTTTTGTGTTAATTTTTTGAGTTTTGTTAACAAAATTTCATGAAGGAGAAAAAAAATGCGTTTAAAAATGTTATACAAAGATGTTTGTTGAATGATTTCAAAATACACTTTCAACAAACTTTTATTCTTGTGTTTCTAGAAGTAATTTTAAGTCTAGAAATGTGCCTATATGTAGCAAAATTTACATTTATTATCATAAGCATAATTAAGACCATGTCCATTTGTCATGCAGTTGATCAAATTCAATATATTTGTTAATATTTACATGTACCTTATGCAAGAAATGAGTGTCTTTACTCTTTATATCAACTCAATTTTTCATTTATTGACTTAAAAAATACATGACCTAAATATATACTGTACTTGTAGCTATATGCAGTAAAAGTTTATTCGAGTTTACCAGTGTTTACATAGAATGTGAATTACATAGGCACCTGATGTTACTTATTTTCTTTTAATGAAGGTATTTTCTTTTTTATTTAAAGAAAATAAAGTTATGTTAATTATAGGAGTTTAAATTTAGCGTGTGCCGATTTTTCTTTCCAAATTACCCAATTAAACAAGACTTACCTTGGTAAAAGGCGAAGTTCGATTGGAATTTTATGAGTCACATTAACACTGTAGGGATCAGATGAGATTTTTCGAGCCCGATACCACTCTTAAAAGGAAGGGATTGTGCATTTCCAAAATCAGATTATATCATTTAATATCAAAGAAATCTATAGTTTTCATTACAACATCTCTTCCTCAAGGGTGGGTATTATATCATGACAACAATGTTTGATGATCCCTACAGTGTTAATGTGACTCATAAAATTCCAATCAAACTTCGCCTTTTACCAAGGTACGTCTCGTTTAAATGGGGAATTTTATTACGTCACAACACTTCTGGAATCATATTCGACTTTAAAGCAAAAATGCACAAGCCCGCTGATCAAGTCAATTTTTTTTTATTTCTGCAAAATTCAATGTATTATACTTACTCTCAACTCGATACTGCAGACTGAAACCTTGAATCTATAATTTTCTTGTCATAAAATTTTACAAAGGTCCCAGCCTCACTCCACCCTGCAAAATGTCATCTACAGGTACAGAAGCGTATCTGCTTTAGATACTGAAGCACTCCTAACACTATGACTAGAAAACTTTTTCGTGTCAATACCTGCCCTTGCCATAACAGTTTTAAGCCATCTTGAAATAGTATCCTTAAAATTCTGTTATGAGGCTTCACATAAGCAGTACAGTTAAGGCAACATTTTCTTTAAAAAGTCACCGAAAACGATACAAATAATATTTTACTATTTTATTTTTCAGCATGACACTCTAGTTAAAAAAGCTTTATGCTATCTTGAAGAGTATGTCCTTCGCTATTCACCTAGGAATTTTTGTGATCATGTGACCCTCTAAAGTCACGTGGGCTCCGATTTTAGGTCAACAAATGAAATGTTAAATTTAACCAAAAAGTTCAAGGGCAAGGCAAACAAACAAATAACTGCACAGTGTTTTAAATTGTCCCTATGTATCTATACTTTCGCAAAAGTGATGCTCATTCAGTTGGTTTTCCGATACATTTGAGTTATTCATCTGAAACAGTTAGTAGTATATGAAAAATGGGGTATTTTCCTAATATCATCGGAAATTATAAATTACCTTAAGGTTAACAAAGAAATGAGCATCACTTTTTGAAAAATATACAGTAAAATGAATAATTTAAATCAAAAACCTACTTATTAGATTGTCGCCTTGCCCTTAAACTTTTTGATTCAAAATTTACATCTTGGTACAGTCAGTCTATATATAGTTTTCAAACGCATCGTTGACCCAGCATGGGAGATAACTCTTCCGTACTTGATAAAGTTTGTTTACCTCGTAGATTTTAAATAACCAGACCTAATAATGCGCCGGGATCTTTTTACTTAATCGAAAAGTATGCATATTACTTTCTATTTTGTGACTTCGTTCTCTAATGTGTGAATTATGTATGATATAAGACGTCTTTCAGACCTTCCGCATTTCCTCGAATTAGTGTAAACACCGTAGTTCATGTAGCTATAAATGTAGGTGTAAAGTTTGCCGCAGCATGTAATCTAAAACGCCGATTGTTAATAAAAATGGGAATATTCAATTATAATAGTCAATTGATAGCCTCCATCAATAATTAATTCGATAATCATACCCCTCTGTCACTAATGTACATATACTTGTGTACAAATATTTTTTTTTTTCGCATACAAGATTATATCATGGCTTTCTTTAAAACCTTCAACTCCTATGGGATTTAAGTCATACGTTTTAAGAACTAAGACTAAGTGGAAAACATACAAATTCCTGTATTTGTTAAATTTTATTTAAAAAGAGGGGGGAGGGGGGGTTGGTAGATCTGAAAGGTTGAAAATAAATATGTCCACATTACATGTTCAGTAAATCATTATCAACACATTGACTGCAGCAATGAAATTTTAAATTTAATCTAGTCTAAGTTTGTATTACTAATTAACACCCTTATTACACATGTCGTCTCAAAGAAAATAAGCTACTCGACTCTATATTTATAGTACAATTACATTTTTAAATATTTAGTAAAACAAAGTGATCAACTTTATGTGGGCTGTTAGGAGGGGGGCACACACTGCACTGCATTAGTTTTTCACTGACCGTGATGATACATAGAGAATAATACATACCCTTTTCCATATCACATCCTGTATCAGCCCGAGACACCAATATCAGCTGATATTGGTCGAGGGCTGATACAGGATGTGATGTGGAAAAGGGTATGTTTTATTATATTTATTACATACTTAGTAATAAAATACAGTTGAGAAGAAAATAAGTCAATAATCATGCATGGACTTCTTACATACATGCATGTACATAGTCTAATGTCTCATAAGATTTGGGTTTGTTTCTATTTCTATTTCAATGCACTTGATCCGTAATTTGAAAATTTTCTATAGTATTACATGTATTTGTAAATTAAGATTAACCTTATTTTCAAAAAGGTTAAAATTAAGAGAATATGAACCCACCAAAAATTGTGTATGAGTACAAGTACTGTAATTGTGGTTTTATTTACTATGGGTGTGAGATTGACGTCACAATAGCCGTATCAGCCCTGCAGGGCTGATACAGATATCAGCCCCGCAAATCCATATCAGCCCTGCAGGGTTGATACGGCTACTGTGACGTCAGCCATATCGCATATGCAAAAAACCTGTATTTATTACTAAGTGTGTAATAAATCTAAATATACACGTACACACTCGAAATCGTTTTTTCTTCGATGTTAACAGAAGCATATCTACATAATGTTCAAACATGTGCATACATACCTGGGCTGAATGCACTGCAGTGATGGATCTAGGGAGCTGGTGCAGATCGTCTTACTCTTCCATTATTTTCTGTAATAATGTCCTCATATTCTCGTAATAGGGATAAACAATGCCTTGTCTCTTATCTTATCCCTAAATTTTTAAAGAATGTCTGATTATTGCAAATAAATCCACTGCATATCTCAGCTGATGTCGCCACGTTTTTAGATGTAAACAACATTCCGTGTCATCGAGTGCAAGCGCTTGGCTGAAGCCGAATGCAACCAAACGGCACATAAGAAATCGGATTATTTTAAAAACGTGCCATTCTATATAGGAGAAAATCACTAATAATTATTAATTTAGACATGGAAATATTGCCTCATTACCATATTTTTTCCATGGGTTGCCTTAACCGTACTGCGTAACTAATAAACAAAAATTTACAATCTTTCCTAATAATACTTGTACTCTTCAAATACTCTTTTAACAAAGTAATCACACATAATCTTCTATCTGGTGGATAAGCATTCAATTCTACACAGTTTGTATGACACCCAGGTATATCTTGCTTAAGGAGACCTTCATAACACAACTTATATACATTGCAACTTTTCTCAATCCCATCTATACTCAACTAATGTAAAGATTGACATCTTGCTGCAGTAGTTAATGCAATCGACATACATAATTTGAGAGATAAATCTTTCAATGATATATATTTTTCCATATAACAGAATAGCGTGGTACACTGGGCCTCAAGTTAAAAATGCCCTTTAAAAATCTAATTACAAGCGGATGCTTTCCCACAGTAAAGCCATCACATCACTTCTCACTAAAATATTGACAGTAGTGAAGGAAAAACTTCAAGAGTACTGTACAACTATATATTCAAGAAGTGGTGAAAAATTATTTTGTTAAAACAGATTCTGATTGCACACATAACATGCATAAGTACTCTGAAGTTGCCATCAAGAAGATGCTTGAGTTTCTGATTGACAATATCTATGTGGTTTTTGGAGATCAGGTATTCCAACAATCTATGAGAATTTCCATGGGTACCAATTGCGCTCCGTTATTAGCAGACTTATTTTTATATTCATATGAAGCAGAATTTATGCAAAATCTTTTACGTGAAAAGAAAAACACTTGCTGTGGCCTTCAACTCGACATTTAGATATATCGACGACGTATTGTCAATTAATAATGATAATTTCCATTCCTACGTCGACACGATATTTCCTGTTGAGCTTGAGATAAAAGATACCACATTGTAAGTTGACGATAGAAAAGTTAAAGTCATCACGTTTATCATATAGCTTGGTTGTTAGATTACAATTAGTGTCTTTTTCAAGTAAAATATCCAAGTATGAAGCAGAAGTGTCGGACTCTGTAGTATCTTTTATTTCAAGCTCACCAGGATATATCGTACCTTACAAACGAAGACAATGTTGTTACCTGCTTTGTCGGCAGGAACCAGTACGTACTGATCGTGTAATCTATCTAAGTCTTTTTTCACTTTTGGTTTATTGAACACAGAAGGATAGATGGTTTTCACTTTGCCCCTCAATCTTTTAATACGTGACTTTAACATGGATCTGATACATTTAATCCATTCTGACAAGGTGTCAATGTGTTCTTTTTCATATCTAGCCCATCGTCTGGCGTAATTTTCAACAGAATCCATAATATTTATGAAATTCCGACGCCAGTTGAAGGATCGAGGTTCCCTATATTTATGACCTTTTAAAATAAGTGATCTAAGGTCCTCATTACGAACTATTTTTACGTCACCTGTAATAACGTGTCCAGCAGGACTATAGTTATAGGGCGAAGAAGAACATGAACTCGAAAGGGGATTATTTTTCAGATAGTCAATATCCAGGCCATGTAAAGTGTTTTTGTAATTGAAAAGTTTGGAACCAATGGTCGATGTATATTTGTAGGAAATACAAAGCGTAGTCTTTAAATTGAAATATGGTTGAATACAAGACTGGACCCTTTTGTGATTAAGAATATTACTATAGTAGAATACACAAGTTTCATTAACTTTGTGAATAATCGTGGTGCACATACAATGCCCATCGGTAAGCAGGAAAATTCAAAAAATTTTCCAAGCCAAATGAATCTCAAATATTTTCTTTGTCTTCTGCAATTGGTACTGAATAATAGGCATGCTTAAGATCTAATGATGCCATGAAACAATTTTTCTTTACCAATTTTATTGCACTTTCAAAAGAATCCATCTTAAAATGATGATAAGGAATGTATTTATTCAATTCTTTCAAATTTAATATCACTCTCAAATCTCCATCTTTCTTTGGTATAGTAAAAATTGGAGATAAAAATTGACCTTCTGCAAAGACACATTCCTTAATAATGCCTTGTTCGCTAAATTCATTTATTTGCTTATTTATTTTTTCTATTTCAGACTTTGCAAATACAGAATGAGGTATACTTTTCTGAAATGGAAAACCTAATTCTTCATCAAATTCAATATGACAATTTTCAACAATATCTAAGATGACTTTATCTTCTGTAAGTTTTTGCCATTCAGAGGAATTTTTTTTAATCTTCCTGCACAAAATATTTTATTTTCCACTTACCTGTTCATCTATTTGTTGGAGCTACGCTCCCCTTTCGAGTTTTTTTTAACTGTCTTTAGAGGTAGAGCTGTTTGACCATCGACCCCAACTACATGTACTAGTAGTTCTTTGGTTCCGTGATCGTCCTAATGTTCCTTTACCATAGGGACGTCCCCGTGCCCTAAACGGTCGGAAATTTCCTCTATGAAATTTTCCATGTACTTTACTGCTTATTCTGTTTACATCTTGGATTTCTTTTGCAGATTTTGCCACATCATCTCCATAAAGAAATTCTGAGAAAGGTAGAGAAGGTGAACTAAGATGGTAGTACTCTCTACCTAAATCAGGTCTATGGAGTTCCTTGCGTTTAACATTTATAAGTTTGTTGGTGTGCCCTAGAAGAGCTAACGCATCTGTGGCCAAAGTTATCAAACTCTGATCTATGACTTCTGAATCAATTTCATTCAGTTTATTAGCCAACTTTGTCAAGTTCACCGAAGCTTTAATTACAGCAGATTGAATAATCTGAAATTTTGAATCGCAATTACGTGTCTCTGGATTGAGAATTCTCCACATAGCTTGGTTCACTCATTTTTAATCAGAGCTGTACAATTTTCAGGTCTTTTGATACTTTTCAACAGTTCATTAAAATAGTCCTCATTAAGACTTTCTCTAAAAAGCTCATTAATCATTGAGGCCAATTCCTCATCTACATTTTCGTCACAGTCTTCCTTTACTTTATACTTTACACCAAGTTGTCTAAATCTAGAGGTTTCTTCTTCCTCTTTACTTTTTTTACAAGGAGGTTCACTTTCACCCTCAACATCAGATTGATTTGTATGCGTCATTAAGAATTCTTCTTCTTCCATTTCGTTAATGTCACCGTAATAAAGTTCATTAACTCTATTGTTCATCTTTTCAATTTTCCGGTCTTGACTATCTTGGTTTTCTTTAATTGACTTTAACAAAGTCATAACCTCTGTCATGCCGGGAGTAGGAACTGTAACGACAGGTGCATTCGACATGTTACCAACCGTACGTTCCTCATTATTGGTATTCTCTAACACAGAACTACCACTTTCTTCAATTGTAACTTTTTTCTCATCAGACTTCTTAGAGGAACGTCTAGACGATTCCTTTGTCTGTTTTTTTCTTTTTCAGCGCAGTCTCGTTCCGTAACACCCGCCATTTTTTCACACTTATAGTCTCAAAACCAAATTCACAATATTCACCAGCCACCTGGAGAAAAAGTATTTCGTTACCTTGTAACGAAAATCAACATAAACGAAAATATAACTACTGCGTAGTTATATAAATTGATAACTACCACGTAGTTATCTACTTCAAACAAATACTGACAACGAGAGTAGACCACGTCCACTCTCTATGACAAAAAGTACACTGACGTATCGGGCTCGGAGTACGCATCTCATATGATTCCGGAAGTGTTGTGACGTAATAAAATTATGTTGGTTCCAAAACTTCTTTCTTTTCTAAACTCCGTATATGAAGTTTGACATTAATTTCTTTAAAGTTAAGTCAAAATCAAAGGAAATGCCAAGGTCAAAACTTTTGATTTAGTTGAAAAGCTCTCAACAGTATTTATCAGCATATGAAGTTGAAAAAATATTATAAATGGTTTCTTTAAAACTGACTCAAACACAAATTGATAAAAGTGAGGTCAAGGTCAAATAAATGGACAAGGTTAAAATGTTAATATAGTTGAATTGCCTACCTCAATATGTATCAGCTCATGAAGTTTGACACTAATTTAGGAAAAAAGAGGTCAAGGTCAAAGCAAAGGTCAAGGTAAAAAATGATGATGCAGATACATATCTCTCATCAATGGTGATCAACATATGAAGTTTGATAAAAATATCTACAATGATTTCTTTACTAAAAATGACTTAAAATTATTTGACAAAGGTGAGTTTAAGGTCAAATAAAAAGTGAAGGTCAAAAATGTTGATGCAGTTGAATTCTTTTTATCATTATGAATCTGCATATGATGTTTGTCACCGATTCAGGGAAAGTAAGGTAAATGTTCAGTTTCATAAAAAATATCTTGAATGGTATCTTTAAAACTGAGCTAAACACTAATAAAGGATAAGTGACGTCAAGGTCAAAAATGGTGATGCAGTTCTCTCATTAGTATGCATCAACATGTGATGTTGATAACACCATCTGAATGCTTTGTTTAAAACTGGGCTACACACTAATTTAAGAAAAGTAAGGTCAATGTAAAATGAAAGTTCAAGGTCAAAAAATGATTATGCAGTTGCATAGCGCTCATCAATATCTATCAGCATATGAAGTTTAATGAAAATATCTTGGATCGTCTCTTTGAACTGAGCTTTGAACAGAGCTAAACACAAAGTGTGATGGAGGGACAGATGGAAGAACGGAAGACAGACATGACAAACACTATATGCCCCAGCCATATTCATGACAGGGCATAAAAAATCCACCTAATCTCTCATTCATCATTATTCCTTCCTTTCTGCATCATATTTCAAGCAAGACACTGTATCAGAAAATATAATTTATTCATTGGATCTTAACCATGATATGTATACTTCACAACTGGTTTTGAAAAAAAAACTTTGTTATGCATCAATTTACAAGTAGACTTAAATCTACTTAGAATAACCTCTTTATATTTTTAGACATTTACATAAACATTGCATCCATAATATATATACATGTATTATACTCTTTCCAAAAGTCTTCATAATTAAAATAACTTAGGAAACATAAACGAAAATAAAGGAGAAGATACAATTGCAAAGTTCACTAAAACTACTAAAACATGGAATGTTTAACAAAAATGAAATTTATCAACAACAATTAAAAAAAATTAGGAAGCAAGAGTTTGGAATATTCATGTACATCAGAGAACAATAGGATCATGTTCTCAAAGCTAATCAAGTGAAGAGTACATGTATCACATAATATTCCTTTCTCTCTTTTATAAGTATGTACAAATAAATTTATAGATTGTCATTTTTACATCTTTACAGGAAAATCTTCACATGCACACACATTATATACAAATATCTCTTTAACATTACTTATGAAATAAAATCATTCACATAAAAAATGTGGAAAATTAAGTTAATAATACACGATTGCACCATCTTATTTCATCATAATATCAAATATGTTTATTATATTCATAAATTCACGATTCCTCCATCAGAAAAGTCCAAACACACAGCCAACGACCAGAATATGTAGCAGGATGAAGTATCCCCAAATCATCTTCCTGATTCCAGGGCGCATGCGCATCAGGCGGTTCAAACTCCGACTGGAAAAGCAGAGGTATTCCCTGAAGAGCATTATAACAGTGTGACAAACACAAACTAGCATGCTAAGGTATAGGATATTCTTGTTAATCAGTGGAACACCAAAACAATACCACTAAATGGGGGTTATATATGTAAAAGGACAAAAAATAGAATTCTTAAATTTCTAAATGTTCATGAAAGCAGCTGTGAATATGAAGATCGTTTTGAAGAATGTTCCCATAATCTTGTTATTAATCTTATGATGATCAAATGGGTTAGAAACAACAATGGATGCAAATCATTGATATTAATGGTTTTTATTTTTAAAAATCAACAAAAATGATATAAAAGCTCAGAATAACTCTACTCACCGACGAACTGTTAGCCAGCTACACACCCTCTGTCCGTACCCTGCTCCACTACGGGCTGAAGAACAAAACAAAGTAATAATAACATTCCTTAGACTAAAAGCTTACTTAAAATAATTGATATCTTAGATATGTTAAATTCTTACACAACATGGGACTGGTTTCCAAAATTCTATTTTCATCCTCATCTTCTACTTGGAGCTGAAACTATAAACAAAACATGATAGTCATTGTATAACACAGGTGTGTAATATTCTTGTATGTATACGCCTTACAGAAATAATCAAAATGATAAAAAAAAAAGCATCCAAAACAGATTTTAATTTTTTTTTCACATATCCTTTCTGATCTTTATTCAATATTACAATTTAAATAGTCTGAGCCATACTGATACATGCTTGTTGCATAAATGATTATAAATCTGATCATAAAAAAATTTTCCAAAATAAAGGTAAATAATTTCAAATTCTTCTTTAAAAAATATGCAAGTTAAAAACAGATTTTGTCATATCTAAAGATAATCATGACTTTAAAAGTGAACTCAGTGAAAGGTGAATGATCATTATAAGCCTTAGATGTGAGCTGCACTTTCCACATTAACCCCCCACCCCACCCCTTCTCTATGAAATTCTATATTAATTATCTCCCCTACCTCTTTATTCTCCGCCGCCAGTCTGGCCTGCTCCTGTAGCGTGTTCAGGGCCTCTTCTAACTGTTGTCGCTGTTCTCTTTCTGTCTTCAGTGATTTCTCCATTGCATAGTATTGGTCTTGTAGTGACTCACGAGTTAACTCAGTCTCTTGCAACCTACAGTGAAATGTAGAACTTTTACTCTTCGGAAACCATTCAATAAAACTAACAGCATTCTTACAAAAATGTTTGATTGTCCTCTTCCTACTGACTAGAATAAGCCCAATTAAAAAACTTTTTTTACAATAAAGGACATATCTTTTTTTCTTTCTCTTATCCTATCAACACATGTGTTGAAATTTTCTGGATAACAATGTCTTCACACATACCTTCCGACCCTTTAATTTTACCATATAAGTCAGTGGCAGACAAGCAAGCATTATTTCATTGATAATCTTATCCAAAATAGATCACCGGAATATACAGTGTACATACTTTGAGCGAAGTTGTTTGACTTCCTCAACCTCTGGTTCTGCTGGAGACATGGTGATCCTGGTTTCCTCTGGTACAACCCGTGGTTCTGCTGCTTCGGTGATCTCCACTGAGGAGGCTCGCTGCATGGCAATGTTTATGGCCTTTGTTTCCGATTCCAGCAACTGAAAAAATCATGTATTTGTGATACAACATAAATGAACTTTATTTAATAATTATTGCCAAAAAACTGAAGTAAAAAAATTGTCTAGTAAAATGAAGTTATTTGATTCTGTAAAAGATTGAAAAAGACAGGCATTTACAGCTATAGGAAATGTGTTAAAGGAATAAAGAAAGCTTACCTTGGACTGAAGTGACATGTGAGTCTGGTATAAAATTCTATACTGTTGTTGCAGAGACGACAGCTCACTTTCTTTCTCTCTTAATGATCTGGATAAGTTTCCGAGCTGAACATTTAGGTAACCCCTGTCTTCAGCCAACTGGCTAACCTACAAGTGCAAAAATCGAGTAAAAACAAATTTTTCTATTAAATTGATATGGAAAAGCTGGAAAAATAAATGCTTCTAAATCTTACCTGCAGTGCCATTTGCTGACACCTTGCATCTCTCTGTTGCAGTCTGTGAGCCATTTGATTAACTTCAACTTGTGCCCTGTTTTTCTGATCCATCGCAGCTGAAAAATGTCCTTGAAGTCTCTGATAATCTCCATGGAAGTTTTCCATCTGCATCTGTCCATTCTGTGAAATACCTAACTGAGCTCTCATTGTTTCGTTGTCAAACTTCAGTTGTTGCATCTTTCCCTCTGATTCTACTAATTGGTGACTGAGATTTGAATTTTTCTGATTAAGGTCTTCACATCTTTTCTCAAGCTGCTTTATATTTTGAATAAATGTTTCTTTCTCCCTTGCCACATGCTCTCTTTCTTCCTTTATAAATAAGGCATCATGGTCACCACTTTTCTGTAGTTTGTTGTGTAATTCTTCAATGTTCTTCGCCATATTAGTGTTTTCCATCAACAATTTATTATGCTGTTCATTCAAAGATTCATACTCTTTCTTAACTTCATTAAACATCTGGCTCTGAATTTTAAGATGTGCTATTTCTCCTTTTAATGAATCATTTTCTGATGTCACTTCATTCAGATCCTCTACTAGTGATTCATACTGTTCTTGCTTTTCCTTTAATTCGTTCTGCAAATCACCTGGAGTCGACCGTTCACGTGATGCATCTTCTTTCTTTCCTTTCGACTCAATAGTCATCATAGAAAGTCGAGATTTCAACTGTTCATTTTCTGCCTGGCTTTCTTGAAGTCGTTTATTAAACGTGTCTACCGAATCCTTGCTTTGTTGCTTTATTTCTGATGAGCTGTTTTTTCTTAAACCTTCCACCTCTTCTTTTAAGCTTTGATATTCAACCTGGAGCTTATCAAATAAAAGCGCCTTGTAATCCGAAACCTGTGTTCCACTTCTCAATGTTTCATTTTCAGACATCGCCTCATTCAATTCCTCTTTAATTAGTTCAAGTTCCTCTTCTAGCTCTTGGACTCTGTTAGATGCTTCAGTTTCATCTCTGGAAACATTTCCTACTAAATTTCTTTTATCTTGTTGCATGCTTTCCATTTCTGTTTTAAGTTTATTTTTTTCCTCAAGTAAGTGATCAGCCGTTTTCACTCTTTCTTTCAGCACGATCAATTCTTCTTTTAATTGTTTATTCTCCACTATTGAATTATCCAGTTCATCCTTTATCAATTTGACTTGATCTTCACTCTCTTTCAGAGATTTTTCGACGTCAGTGTCATTGGATGAGCCAAGACCTTCGACTGCTGCATACTTTGACTTTAGAGCTGCGATTTCACTTTGTAAACTATCACAAATGGAAGCCTTGACAGAAGCAACAGTTAGTTCTCCTTTAAGACTATCGATTTCTGTCGACATTTCATTCAATTCCTCTTTAAAGGAATCGATTTGATCCTCTAAGTCTTTGTTTTCATCTGACTTCTTTTGGAGCTCATGTTTTAACGACTCAAAATCTTCATCCGGCAGAAGTTGTAATGTGCTGGTTGTGCTATTACGACTTTTTTCTAATTCTTCTTGAATAGTTTGCTTTTCTTTAATTGCTTGATTTAATTCTTGCTTCTTTTTGTCAAGTTCTGATCTGACTTCTTCTAGTTCCTCCTCCAAAGATTCAACCTCTTCAATCTTCCATTCCATGGCGCCTATTTTCTCTCTCATTCCTTTGTTCTCAATTGCAGCATCATTCAATTTAATATTAATTGTCTCTTTTTCCTCTTTCAAAGCATTCTTTTCTCGTTTCAGTTCGGACAGGTCATCTTTAAATCCATCAATCTCTTCAAGCAACTGTTCTCTTTCACTTTCAAGTTCTTTGATTGTATCCAACAATCTTTCCGACTTTGTTTTATCTTCTTCTGTATTTCTTTTCTCCTTCTCGAGCTCCGAATTAGATTCCCTCAATTTAGCCACAATATCTTTAAAACTTTTATTTTCGACCTCTAAAGAATCACACAGCATGACACTGTCCTCCAGTTTTCTCTCAAGTTCCACACGCTTTATCTCAGCAGCTTCCAATGAAAATTTCAAATCACTCTCCGAAGACAATTTGCTTTCATATTCAGAAATTTTTTCCATAAGTTCCCTTTCCTTTAAATTTAATTCCATGACTTTGCTTTCTAAAGATGATATTTCAATCTTCAGTTTTGAATTAACATTATTCACCGATTCCCATTCACTTTCTTTTTCTTCGTATTTTTGTTGTGTTTGACATATCTCTACTTTCAATGCCTCAATTTCTTTGTTCAATTGTTTCTCAGTTTCCTGTTGCTTTTCTACCGTGGTTTCCAAATTGTGTTGGATGTCCTTCAAAGTTTTAATTTCAGAAAGAAGACCCTCCCTGGTCTCCACATCTTTCTTACATTGCTCTTCTAAATCTTGAATCCTTTGTACATTTTCCTGAGAAAGCCCATGTTCAGAGTCCTTTTTCAAAGTCTTGACCTCTTCTTGAAGCTTATCACATTTGGTTTTGAAAGCTTTCAGTTTGATAAGCATTTTTTCACATTTTCCTTCAGATGCCTGCAATTTCTCGGAAACTTTTTCATAATTTTCTTCCAGCGTTCTTAAACTCTCTTTTGCTGTTTGCAGTTCTGTCTCCGTATCATGTGTTCCAGACTGCCTTAACTTTTCTACTTCTCTCTGTTCATTTCTTTCCACAACCTCAGAGAGGAGCTTGTTGCTGGAGGAGGCAGAAAAAACTTCTTGTGCCGGGGCAGAAGAAATACCCTCAAGTTTAGTCCTCATGTCACTGTTCTCAGACTGTAATTTTTCACTATTCTTGAACAAATCACTGCATTGCTGTTGTATTTCAACCCTTGCTTCTTCCATTGCGCTACACTTTTCAGACAAATTAATTAGTTCAGCTTTTAATTCATTATTTTCTTGCAATAGATTCTGAAATCTCAACTGTAGATCTTCACCTGAAGAATTTTTCTCATTTTCTAGCTCCTTCATTTCTCCGATTTTAGATGTTAAGCCAGTGATCTCGGTATGTAAACTATGATTGGTATTTTCCATTTCTTTCATTTTTTCAATTAAAGTATTGTTCTGTTCTTTTATTTCATCATTTGTTTTTCTGAGATTGTCTTTTTCCTTAAGAGCTTCTTCAAGTTCCATTTTGAATACCTGTATTTGATCCATCAGTTCCATGTTTTCTTTAGTTTTTATTTCTAACTCATTTGCAAGGTCATTAGATGACATTCTATTTTCAAGGTCTTCATGAATTTTGTTTTGAAGATCGATCACCTGTTGGGAAAGGGCCGATTTTTCTTCAATCACAGAACTATATTTGTGTTGCAAAGTTTGCATTCTTTCATGTTCATCTTTCAACTGATTCTCCATTTCACCAAGAATTTGCTGTTCTGCTAATCTTACTGATTCTTGATTTGCAGTCTCCAAACTATTTATTTTTTCTCGAAATGAATTTAATTGATCCTTTGAATAATTTTTTAAGGCCAAAAGAATATCTTCAATGCTTTGTATATTACATTCAACGCCTGTTACTTCTTCATAACATCCTTTCATTGAATGCACTATTCCAGACAAACTTTCCTCTTTTTCAGCTAGGGAATTTGAAAGACTTACAATTTTGTCTTTCAGTTGTTCTACATCTTTCACATAGGACTGAATAGATTCCTCCAACTGACCCTTTTCTATTTCCATTGTATGTAGATTTCCCTGAAGATCATTTGCCAGTTCACTCTTGCTGCGTACTTCTTGTTGTAATGACTGCAACATAACATCAAATTCACTACCTTTACGCTCGAACTCTTCCACTTCTCGACTCTTTTCTGCAAGTTGATTCTCAAATTCTTTAATATTTTTAGACAATTGATCAATGATATGGTCCTTTTCATTGTCATTTACTGTCTTTTCTAGCTTTTCCTTAATATTAGAGATTATTTCTTCCTTAGATGATATTTCTTGAGTCATTTGGTCAAATCCTTCTTTTAAATTTTCATATTCATCATTCTTTTCTTTAAGCAGTTGTTTGAAACTAGAGTTTTCCTCTTCTAATGTTAAAATCTGTGAATGCATCTCCGACTTCTGAGATTCAATTCTTATAATATTTTCTGTCAGTCTATCAGTTTCAGTTTGTAGCCTATCACTTAATTTGCTATTTTCAACTTCAAGCTCATTAATAGTCTCACCACGTATCTCGAAATTCCTTTGGAGCAAGTTCAACTCACTGCTTCTTTTTTCAAGTTCATTTTTCACAACAGTTACTTCTTCAACACTTGAATGAACCAAATCCTCATACTCTTTGAGTTTCAAATGTAAATTTTCTAATTCTTTTTCTTTGCCTTCAAACTCGCTAATTTTTCCTTCATACAACTGAATTTTCTTCTGGAGGTCTTCCATTGCATGTTGTTCTCCACTATCACTATTCTTGTTTATTTCTACACTTTCATCTGTGAATGATTCTTTTTCCCGCATCTTGTCTTTAAGAGAATTGATTTCAGTTTCAAGATCTTCCTTAGCTTTCGTTGCTTGTTGGAGTTGAAATTTGATTTTTTTAGCTGTCGCTAATGCTTTGCGGAAATTCATGTCTTTTTCTTCAAACTGCTTTTTCAATTCTTGAATTTCCTGTTCTTGTTTTTCACACATTTCTTTTGTATTTTCCAGCATTTCCTCTGCCTGTCCAAGTTGATTAAGACGTTCTTCCATTTCTTGCAGATTTCCTAGAAGTGATGCTATTTTTTCATCTTTCTCTAATAACTTTTTCATTAGCATCTCTTCATCAGAACTCTTATTTTCAATCAAATCAGTTAAAATGTTCTCTTTTTCTTCCATAGACTTTGCTAGTTCATCAGCGATTACTTTGGATTTCTGCAATTCTTCTAATTCTTTTTCAAGATCCTTTTCTCTCTTTTCGTGTTGATGAAGCTCGCTAGAAAGAGCTTCAATCTGACTCTCAAGAAAATTTGTTTTTTCCTTTTCTGCATTTAACTCCCTGGTTAAGCTTTCTATTTGCGTTGAAAAGTAGTTCTCAGTTTCCTGAAACTTTGCTCCATCTTTCTGTAGAGCTGTTGCAGCATCGTGACATTGTTTTTCAAGTTCACTGATTTGCAACTGATGCTGTTCAATCAAGCCAGTTAAAATATTTTCCTTCTCTTCCATAGATTTTGCCAGGTCATCAGCAATTGTTTTGGATTTTTCTAGTTCCATCAGTTTTCTCTCCATTTCATTTTTCTTTTGCTCTTCTTGATGTAAATTGTCTGAAAGAATTTTAACTTTCTCTTCAAATAAACGAGTTTTTTCTTTCTCTAGGCTTAATTCACTAGATAATTCTTTAATTTGTGCTGAAAGAGAGTTCTCTGATTCTTCAATTTTGGTCCTATCTTTCTCCAATGCCACAGTTACATCACAATTCTGTTTTTCAAGTTCACTGATCTGCAATTGATATCTTTCACAAGAAGTAATTAAATCTTTCTCTCTTTGTCTTAAATCCGAATTTTCCGCCTGTAAATCTACTGTCGCACCTTTCATCATTTCCACATCTTTTTGATATACTTCATAGGAATGGTTCCTTTCTTCAGTCATCTGTTCAATAGTCCTTTTAAGTTCACCAGTTTCACTTTCTTTGGTATTGATTTCCTCCATTCTTTCTGACAACATCTTTTGAAGTTCTTCATTCTGAGCTTGTAATACTTTCAGATTGTGTTCAGCTTCTTGAAGTTTACTTGTAACCACCTCTTTGTGACCTGTGTCCTCCATGTGGACCTTCCTAAGTTCCTCCAGTTCGGACTCTTGTCGTCTTACTTGGTCTTCAAGTTGCTGTCGGAATCCTTCCATTTGCACAATTTGCTCTTGAAGATGATGCCTCGTCTCATCAGCCTACAAAATAGGATTTAAATTCATCAGATATAGAAAGAAATTGTAATTAGAATAAAAAATGTCAAAACTATGGAGTACAAAAATATACTCTAATATATACAATTTAAACAATTTTATAAGTGTTGATAATAAATAGTATATTATCAAACAAGTGCTTGAATTAATTAGTTTTCTGTATAATATTTCATGCATGATATAAACATTTTATATGTTTTAAATATGAATATATAGTTGATTATATAGCTACACTAATAATCGTTATATCTAAAGAATTCATTATTGAATAGTCTAGCATAAAGGGGTCACAAATAATAATATTAATTTTATACACTTCATATTCTATTTCCACGTTCTTTTCCCAAACTCAAATGTAACCAATACAAATAAACAAAACCACTTTTCAATAACATTTTATAAATTAGCATTTTTCAATAAGACTTATTTATTTAATGACGGAAAATTTTTAACGAAAGGGAAAATGAACAAAATACATAAAAACTCATTACACAATTATAATGAACCAAACAGCATAAACCAAATTAAAACTAGTTAGTAAGAAGGCAAAGCATGCACATCTATATTATTGTTATACTAGACATGCAAATATATGTAAGCATACAATATAACTAAGTATGAGCAAGAAGAGACGTTAGTGGAAAGACAGGAAAATGCAGACCAATACATTCTCTACAACTGAATACATAAATCTACATAGCATTGAACAGCAAACTACACCACAGAGAGTACAGAGATTACAATGTTAGATAGAGTGCAAGTCTACAAAGTCTCTTACATCTTTTGCCAAGTTGATTGGATCCATTTGTTGCATGGATTGGGAAGGCGCAGCTCCTAAAAGTTTTTCTGTAGAAATTTGAATCATTGGTTCTTCTATGGCCTTAGGAATGCTGAAGTTCTCTGATAATTTTCGGTTCAATGATTCCATTTCTTTTTCCATTAAATTGCATTGACTTTTCAGAGACATTAATTGCTCTTCTTTCTCGGAAACAATGGACTGCAATTTGTAGTTTTCTTCTTTCACATGAGTAACTACTTCCCTTAAATTCACTAATTCATTCAACTCAATTTCTAATCGATTTTTTGCATTTTCATTTTCACTCAGTTTCATTCTTGCTGCATGAAGTTGTTCTTTGGTTTCTACTAAATCCTGTTTTAAAGCGCTGATTTCTTTTTCCATGTTTGTGTGTATATCTTGTAATCTTGAATAAGATTCTTCATATGCATGCAGCTTGCACTCAAGATCCCGAATCATCCTTTGACTTTCAGTAAAATTGATGGAAAGTTTCTCTATATGGTCATCCTTTTCAGTCATCAGCAAAGTTTGATTTTCTAAGGACTTCTGTAAACTGGCAATCTGAAGATTCATCTCCTGCGATTTGGTTTCCAATAACTTTTTTGCATCTTCGTTTGTACTCTTCAACTGTTCATTCAAAAGGGATTTTTCTCTTTCTATGTCACAATATTTTTCCTTGCATTCTTTAATTTCTTCTCTCAAGCCTGTAATAATCTGTTCATTTTGTTCGATATTTTGCTGGTATGCAGCGTTCATTCCCTGTAATGAAGCTTCAGTGTCATCCTTCTCCAATAAAACAGTCTTACATTTTTCTTCCAATGCACAGATTTTATCATCCTGTTGGGTACAGTATGTTTGCATTTCAGCACATCTCTGATTCAGACCATGAACTTCATTTTCTTTTTCTTGATAATAGTACTGGTATGCCTGATTGGCTTGATTTAAATTTTGCACCGTTTGCTGTAATTCGAGTATATTCTGCTGAGTCTGTTCCAAAGATAATGACAAATCTTTATTCTTCTCCTCTTCTTCCTGCAAACGTTTTCTTAAATGAGTAACAGCCAAGTCTTGTTCCTCCATTCTAATGCTCCTTACATTGTTAGCCTCATCTAATGCTCTGATTGTCTCCTCCAATTGCTCACTTTGGCTATTATACAGCATCTGTATATTTTGCATTTCGTTTCCTTGACGAGATAAGTTATCTTTTAGCCGTGTGATCTGATTCCTCAGGTCTTGGATTGTTTGTGTCTGGTGTGCATCGTTACCACTCTGCACAGCCTTCAATTGGTTACTGAGATTTTTAATGTATTCTTCCTTCTCTTCTGAGCTCCTTACATGAGTACTCCTCATTTCTTCTAGTGACTGTAACTTCTCTTCCAAGAACAGTACTTCCTGTACTTTTTTGTCGTTCACTTCTTGCAAGGACGTGACTTGTGATTCTTTGTCTTTCAGATTTGCAACATTTTCTTCAAATGATTGACGCAGTTGGGAAAATTCTTTACGAAGCATTGATAGGATTGCAACAGGACTACTAGCTGATTCCAAAGCCTCATGATAAACAAATTCCTGATCCTCTCTTATCACTTCAAAAACCTCTTTTTTGAACATGTTGAGTTCAATAGCTACTAAGTTTGACAATTCCTCTAATTTTGCACACTTATTTTCTAAGCCAATGTACTTTTCTTTGAGAGCCAGAATTTGATTAGTTTCCTCGCTTAACACTGACTCAAAATCTTGAACTCTTTGGATATGTTCAGTATTTAGCATTTCAATGTGTTGTCGCAACTTCTGGTTTTCACCTTGGCTATCTTCTAGAAGCTGATGCCACTCCATCTGTTGAGAGCTCGGTACAGGTGTCGATTCTTGTTCTTCTGACTTCTTTGTTTTTTCTTCTAGTTCTTTCTTTGCTTTTTCTAGCTGTTTAATTCTAGTTTCCTTCCCTTTGCATAATTTCTTTAATTTAGCTACTTCTTGTTGAAGAGATTTTTCTTCATTTTCCTTCGTATCAGAAGCTGTAGGATTTTCTTGTGCTGATGTATCTTTAAAGGATTCTAGTTCTTCCTTCAGATTAGCAATAACAGTGTCCTTTTCCATGACTAAATCTTCCATGGATTGATATGAAGACACAGTGTCCCTAAATTCTTTTTCATACCAATCCTCCCATCCATATATTCTATTTTTCAAATCATAAATTTCTTCATCTTTGGCAAGAAGAAATTCTCTTAATGATTGCAATTCTTCCTGTTGACTTACTGCAAAATTCCTCCCGTCAACAATCTCTTCATCTCGTGACTGAATGACATCTTTTAAATCTTCAATTTCTCTTTCAAGCTGCATAACTACTTCAGAATGCATTATTCTTTCTTTCCATTCACTATCAATATGACTGGAGCTTAAGGAAAGATTTTCTATGCTTTCTCTAGTTGTGTTACTTCCACTTTCATCAGCTTTACTTTGATCATCTTTGGCTGCACTTTGCAGTTTGGCAAGTTTAGCATCTTTGGCTTTACATAACGTTTTCAATTTGGATAATTTGGCATTTAAAGCTGTGAGTTCTTTTTGGTGATTATCTTGCATTGAAAGAATTAAAGTCTGCTTTTCTTCTAATAATGACTTCATTTGTTGTGGATCTTGTCCATCGAGCTGGGAAGCATTCTTTTCAGAATAAGTTTCTTGGAACACAGAGTTGCTACTTAAAGTGGATGTTGATTCTTGTTTTTCAATCAAGTCACTAACAACAGGCATGGCCTTAACCTGAGATTCGCTGCCATCTTCAAGTTTCTGACATCTGCTTTTCCAGTAGTCAGTCTCAGATGCAGCTGCTGTAAGAGACTGAATTTGTTGTTCCATATCTTTCTCTTGACGCTGCAAAAATTCAATGGTATTTTCAAGTGCAGAACATTTCTCTTCCAAGCTTAAAATTTTCCTTTTGCTGGAATTACTGTCATCTAAAATCTCTCTGTTTTTATCTCTCATATCCTGCTCCATATCCCCTATGTGCAATTCATGCTGTTTACAGAGTTCTTCCCACTGACTCATTCTCTCTAACTCTCCCTGCAATAGTTCTACTTCTTCTTCTTTCTGTCCAAGTTTTTCAGACAAATCATTGATTCGTTCTTTCATTAAAAGTAAATCTGTTTCCTTTTCTGACAAAATACTCTCTTGCTTTTCTACTACTTCTTGAAATTTGGTAAGTTTTGACAATTTTCCCTTTCCAACCTTTTTAATTTTTTCCACCTCAAAAACAATGGAATCTTTATCCTTCTGAACCTTTTGGATTTCTTCAGATAATCGTTCAACTTCTTTTTCGGCTTTATGAAGTTTTTCTTCAGTCTGCATTAGGGTATCCCTGATTTCTTGACATTGTTTTTCAATTCCTTCTTTCTCTATGAGCAATTTATTATAACTTTCTTTACTAAATTTCACCTCTGCCTTCAGATTTTCAATTTCTTCTTCCTTTTGATGTAGAGCTTGATTAAGATCAACTTGATTGTGTTCCATATCCTTACATTTTTCTTTCAGTTCCTCTACTGAATTTAAACTATCTTCAAAATTGCGTCTTAATTCTATTTCTGCAGCACTAAGACTTTCCAGTTCAATATTTAATTCTGAAATTCTTCCTTGGAGGATCACTGCATCTGTTTCTTTTTCAGCAATAATTTGTTCCTGTTTGGTTACAACATCTTCAAATTTCTTGGCCTTTGCCTCCTTTCCTTTTCCAAGTTTTTGTAATTTTATAATTTCTTGAGCAGTAATTTCCTCTTTCTCGATGACATTCTCATATACTTTTGTGACTTCCTGTAATTGAACACGTGTATTTTCTAACTCTTCCTCTTTTTTCTTCAGCATGTCTTCAAATTTCTTAAACTTAGCATCTTTTCCCTTCATCACTAAACTTACTTTCTTATATTCTGTCAAATGCTTTTCCTCGTTTTCTTCAAGACATTTTAACCGAGATTTCAGACTCTTGATTTCTTCTTCCATCTTTTGAACATTACTACTTAATGTTGTGTTTTCAGTTTCTAGTTGTAAAGCCGATTCTTGTTGGTTTTGATTCTCTTTTATTAATTGTAAGTATTTTTTTTCATGGGCATCTTTCATTGCACTGATTTCTTGATTTAAATCAAATATTTGTTGCTCTTTACTAGCGAGAGCCTGGTTAATGTCTTCAATTTTCTCCTCAAGTGCCTGCTGATTCATTAATTTCTTTTGAAGGTCTTTCTGTGCAAGTTGTTCCTCGTACCTTGCGTCCTCCACCTTTTCATTTAGCTCATTAACACTTTCTTTCAGAATCAGTTTTTCTGCTTCATATTCAGTAATGAGCTTTTCTTGTTCAGAAATAACCTCTTCAAACTTCTTTACCTTCAATTCCCTCCCTTTGTACATTTTCTGCAACTTCTGATTTTCATTGTTCAAACCGTCTCTTTCCTCTTTCATTTCCCTAAGTGCTGCTTCCAATTTTTGTAGTTTTTCTTCAGTTTGTGCCCCACTTTCAAAGTTTGGATTGTTCATATCATGTGTTAATTTGGAAATCTTTGTATCTTTAGCTTTACACAGCTTCTGTAGTTTCTTTACTTCATTTCTAAGTTTATTTAACTCTGTGGTGTTTCCCCCTGAACTCGTACTTGCTGAATCAGTAGACCCTGGGAATTCATGTTTTTGAAGCTCAGCCTGCACATGTTCAGAAGTTGTCAGTATTTTTAATTCCTGTTCAAGATTCATAATTTTAGCTTCAAGTTCACCTGAAGATACCTTGTGCTGCATTATACTTTCCTCCTTTCCTGCAATAGTACATTTTAAGGTAGAAACTTCAGTCTTTAGTTCCTCATTTTCTCTGTACAGTGTTGCTACTTCTTCTTGGAATGTTTCTAGTTTAATTTTAAGGTCGTTGTTTTTCGAATTCAGGTCTTCCTGCTCTGTAAGTAAGTCCTTCATCTTCCTTTTATCTTGTTCTAACTTGTCTTGCAATTGACTTTCAAGTCCAGAAAATTGCCCTTCTTTTTCCTTCAACTGAATAAGAGGAAGTCCAAAAGGTAAGTAAAAGACAAGCTTCAACAAAACAATAAAGCATTGGGGGATAACATAAAAATAAAACCATGCCCGATCTACTAAACGTAAAGAAAACCTAGATCAGTTGCTAGTGACTGCAGCAGCATTTTTTATGTTCAGTGTGATCTTAATTAAAAATACAAACCATAACACTTATTGAAAACGTAATTTCAAAATCTATATCATCAGACGGTTTTCAGTAAAAAAAAATTTTAGGTGAGACAAAAATATGCTTTGTATTAGGATTAAACATACATAATTAAATAAAGAACCATCAAAATCAAATGGTTTCCTTGATTAGTTTTCTGTGACCTCTCACTGGTAAACAAATACCTATTTAACTTCGTCTTACATTTACTCTTTTTTTAAGCCTGTATATATGTTTTCTTCTTGTTCATGGGAATCCAATATCAATGTGATTTTAATCAAGATCCTTATGTAAATAAAGATTTACAAATACTGTTTAATTCTTTTGTATTTATTTTTCACTACTATATGTAATTTCAATTTCTTTCTTTTTTCGTGGGGGGGGGGGGGTGTTAACAAAAAGGACACAATCGTTTTATTCCCAAAAATTCCCTAAAGAGATTGGATGATATAGATTCCTGAGACTTTATTACTGTTCACAAGCTTTCGCTCCATCTTCAACACACATTTATTGATCATAACCATGAATGATTTCTTAATTTACCTAATGCCAAATGTTTTGTCTTAGAATGACCTAATGAAATAAAAACAAAATGTACCCTAAAAATAATTTCTATATTAAACATATTAAATATTTCTTCTTCCATGGGTTAAAACACGTACATCTTTGATTTTAAAAAACCAGAAATAAAAATAGATAAAATACACTCAATAAAAAAAATATAAGTATTTTGTATCAACCTTTTTGCTGATAATTTCATTTACAACGTAATAGTGCAATGCAGGCCTGGTTTTAAAAACTATGTTTAATAATTGTCAATGAGAAAAAAAAACTTATTTTAGAAATTCAAAATTTAAATGACAATTCAAGAAAAAATGAAAAATATCATTGAAGAATAAGCTATGAAGAATTACCTGCAATGTTAGTGTGCTGTTCTCGGTCTTCAAAGCATGGACTTGCTCTCTCATTTCAGAATACTCACTCTTGATTTTTAAAAGCTCAGAGTCTAGCGACTCTTTGTTCTGAAACATCTCCTCTAAATGACTTTCTTTCTCTTTCATTTTTTGAGCAAATTCTTCTCGAGATGCTGTAACGTCTTTCAAATGAGTAACCGCGTTCCTCTGTTCATTTTCAAGGATGGCATTTTCTTCATGTAGCTTGAGAATATTCTCTTTTAAAGAATGTACATTTTCTTCAAGCTTTTCAATAATAGCTTTGTCCACATCATCTTTTCCAAGTTCAGTTGAACTGTCAGGAGAATCATTTTCTGTTTCTTTTATCAATTCAATCATCCTTTGTTCACATTCAGCTTGTCTTTGTTCTGATATATCTAAGGTTCTTTGTAGTCTTTGTAGTTCTGCCTTCTGGTCATTCATTTTCTCCTTCAATTTTTTGTTAGTTGTTAATGTCATCATGTTATTAACATCAACACTGTGGGAAGTCTGTTGCAGTTCCTCCAATTCTGCTAAGATTAAATCATGCTTCCTCTGCAAATCTTCCTTAACAGACTGACTTTTACTTAATTCTAGTTTCAGATCAGCCACATCACCTGAATGTGAATTTATCTCATCTTGAAGGTTGACGTTTTCTTGTGTAACCTTTTCTACTTCTTCTTTCCATTTCATAACTCTAGACTTCATAAATTCAACTAAGGGACCCATATCATATGTGTCTTGGGGGAATTCAGCAATTTCCTCCGAATTTGAACTCAATTCTTCGCATAGTGATTTCATAGGGATGACAATTGAATGTATTTTCTCATGGAGTTGCGTTTTCAATTCGTCACATTGTGATTGAAGGTCCGCCTGTACACCTTCTCCCTGTTCCTTCTCTTTTAAAAATTTTTCATTGTCTTTCATAATCTGTTCAATTTGTGTTGATGCTTCCTCTTTTGTCTTTTCTAAAGCAGTTTTCATTTGCTGACTTTCTGTTTTCAGTGTTTCTAACTCTCTATTACAATCTGTATACTGTTCATTCTTTTCTTGTAATTCAGCTTTGAGTAAATCATATTCAATTTCTACCTTACTTTTTTCCTCTCTCACAACCTTCAGCTTAGTTTTGCTTTCCTCTAGCTGATTATTCATATGAGCATTCTTCTTTCTTTCATTATTTAACAATGAATCCATATCCTGAATTTTCTTTTCATACATCTCATTTTCTGACATCAGAAGAGAGACATATTGTTCATAAGTGTCTTTCTTTGATGCAAACAAATCGTCCTTTTCTTTCATCTGTTGGGAAATAACTTGTTTTTCATTCTCTGAATCTTTTAACAGATCTTTCAAATTAACTACCTCTTTCTCCAGGCTTAATTTGATTTCAAGTAAAGAATCCAGTTTATTTCTAACGGTAGAAAGAGAATCCTCTTTTCCTTCAATTCTTCTGTTGAAATTTTCATTTTGGGTTTCCAGTCTTATCTGCAATTCTTTCATTTCTTCAAGAACTTTAGCCTTTTCTCTGCCTAAACACTCGATCTGTTCTCGGGCGGATGTGAATTCTTCGCGTGTTTTAGAAATTTTTCTATCTAAATCACGTTTCTGCAATTGAAGATTTCCAACCAGCATTTCCATATTATTTTTCTCATCTCTGAGCGACTGAATCTCTTCCTTTGTGTTTGTTAAACTCTCACTTAACATTTCGTTCATTTTAGCCAATTCTTCATACTTTTTAAGGGAATGGTTAAGATCATCATCTTTTGAGTGCATTGCATTACTAAATCTTTCTTCTGCCTCTTTTAATTTGCTTTCAAGGGTATCATATTCGAGTTCAAGTTCCTGATTTTTTTCTTCTAAGATGGAGTTGTTCTTACTTAATTCAAAGCTACCTGCTTCTAATTCAATCTTTCTCAAATCACTTTCCTTAAGCATGTCTTTATATTTTAAAATTTCTCGATCAAGTTCATTAATTTTATTTAATAAATTTAGTCTCCCTTGTTCTATTTCCTTTTCTTGTAAGCTGAAGTCGTTCTTCAGCTTGTCCGACTCTGCTTGCAGTAATTTAATCTCACTTTGTAGTTCGAGGATCTTATGGGATTTTTCTTTAATATTGGACTGCAATTTTTTGGAAAAAATTGTGATTCCTTGATTTTGTTCATTCAGCCTCTCACATTCATCTTTCAGCATCTCCATCTTTGAGACAATATCACATTGTTCCTTTTCATTTCGTGCACAAATGTTAAAGTATTTACTTTTCTGCTCCTCAAGTTTGGTCTCCAGGGAATGAATGTGTTCAGTACTTTTCTCAAGAGTCTTTTCTAAATCTTGACATTCCTTCCTAGCTATCACTTTCTCCTCCTGCAGATCATGCAGTCTTTGTTCAAAATGGCTTCTATCTTTTTCACAAGTCTGGAATGACCTTTCAAGCTCCATGGAAAGGGCAGTTTTTACCTCCAGATCAGTCTCTAGTGCAGCAATTCTCTTTTGCAGATCACTACACTTCTTTTGTTCAATAGCATACCTTTCTTCCAAATCTTTGCAAGATTGCTCTAATAGTTCTGTATTCTTTGCAGAGGTTTCTTCTGTAGATGCTAAATCTGAACAAACTTTTTCTAGTTCTTGGTCTTTACATTCCATTGAAATCAGCAACGTCTTTATCTTTTGATCAAGGTCTGTCACTTGAATACTCTTTTCATTTATTTCAGCAGTGTATTTGTCTGTTTTTTTCTTCAAATCTAATCTTAGTTTTGTTATTGTCTCAGAGGTGTCAGAGCATCGACTTTCAAGCTCCTCTATGTACTCTTTTAAAATGACAATTTGTAAATCCTGTTGTTCTAACTGCTTTAAGACTTTTTCATTTTCCTCTGCCTCTTTAAGGAGATCATTTCTTAACTGAATTTCCATCCTCTCTTTTTCTTCTTTCAAACACCTGTTTTCAGATAGATGTGATGTCTTTTCAATATCAAATTCTCGCATCATTTTGGAATGCTCTGATTTTAACTCTTCAAATTCTTTCAAAACATTTGAAAGGGCATTTTCTTGATCATTTTTCTCTGTTTTTGTTCTCTGTAATTCTGACTGCATAAGTAAATATTTCTCCTCTATCTCTACAATATTTTCAGACTGAGAATGGGATTCTGTCATGCTTTGTAGCAATAACTTTTCTTTCTCTTCTCTGATAGCTACATTTTCCTGCAATTCAGTCTTTAGCCTTTCTATCTCCATCTCTGCATCACATAAGGAGAGCCCAAGGTTCTGGTTAGTTGCCTTCAACTCGTCGATTTCAGACTCCAAAGCATTTAAATGAATTTCCTTTTCTGCCACAGATTTACTCCACAAATCATTTTCCAGTTTAACATCATCAAAGTCCTTGGATAATTTTTCATAGTTTAAACACAGGGATTCCCTTTCTGTTCCCACTTTCTCTAGATCTTTCAAAAGAGTTTCATTCTTAGAAATATGCGCTTCTTCTTTGTTTTTGAGTTCTTCAATTTTCTTCACTAAATCTTCTCTTTCTATGTTGAGAGAGTGAAGATTTTCTTGGAAATCTCCCACATTCTTTTCTAATGCCTGTTTCTCATCCTCAACATCTTCCAACTTCTTCTGTAAAAAGTCATTAGCATTTTGCATCTCTCCTAAAGTTAACATAAGTGACTCAATTTCTTTAACTTTGCTGTCAAAATTTGAATTTTCTTCTGATAAAGTTTGTTCCAACTCTTTAACCAAATTTTCCAATCTCTCTTTTTCTTTAAAACACTTTTCATATAAATCTTTCAAACTTTCCAACTCGTTCTTTAGTGTCTCTTTTTCCGTTGACAGTGCAGAGAGCTCCTTCATCTTTAATTCCAGAGATTCTTTCACTTCATGTAGTTCCTCTGTAACAGCCTTTCTCTTTTCCACTGCTTCCTCTAAGTTCTGTCGTGATATTTTTATGTCTTCCTGGTATTTACAGTTTGATTGCACAGCTTCATCATACATATGTTTCAATTCAATGCACTTTTTTGATTCCTCCTCTAATTTAGTTTCCAAGATAACCATGGATTCTTTAAGAGTTTTTACTTCATCCTGAAGACTAGCATTGGATACAGATAACTCCTGTGTTTCTTTTTGATGATTTATTCCTTCTTTGTCCTTTTCAAGCAATGCCAAATTTAGTTTTTCTTTCAGGGCTTGTTGATCACTTTCAAACTGCTCAAGAGTTTTCTTTTTACCAACCAGTTCATCAGTCAGCAGATCATTTTTTTGCTGCAAAAGATCCTTTTGTTTTGTCAATTCTGTATGACTTTTTGAAAAATCATCTGTCTTTTTCTGATCCTCAAGTTCTAAATTCTCTGATTTTGTTTTTAATTCTTCTACCTTGATTTCAAGGTCATGATTACATTTCTCCAAACAATCCTTTTCCTGTCTGACAGCCTCTAAAGCTTCTTCAGAATCCTTCAGTCTCTGCTCCTCATTCTTTATCTCTTCCTGCAATGAAGAGACCAGCTCTTTAAGCGCAGTTTTTTCCACTTCAAGGTTTCTTTTGCTCTCTGACAACTCATCATTTTGATTTAGCAAACCTGCATTGTTGTCCGAGAGTTTTGCTATTTCTTCTTTCAGATCTTTGTCTAGAATTTCCAGTTGCTTCTGAGTGCTGTGTAATTCTTGTACCTGAGTCTGCAATTCGGATTGGAGGTTCTCAATTACATCAGTCTTTTTACTTATTATTGAAAGATTATCTGACCTCTCCTGTGACAGAGATTCTTGTATACTCTTTACTTCTGTAACGAGACTTTCATTTTCATTTTCAACCTGTTCTAGTTTTGAAGATAAACTGGTACTCTTGGCTTCTAACTCAGATAAGTGCTTCTCTGAAATCTCTAATTTTTGGGTGGAAATGGTGTTCTGTTCATTTATACGCTTTAATTCTTCAATAAGACCATCTTTTTCTTTGTACATTTCCTGTAGAGTCTCTTTTGTTTTGCTCACTAATTCATCATGGCTTTGTTGCAAAACAGTAACTTCTTGTCTGTTGGCTAGCTTCAACTGTTCAATTTCTATCTTCAAGGAACAAACTACTTTGTCTTTATTACTGAGTTCACAAAGATGCCGATGAATTTCTTCCTGAGCATCATTCTTTGCTTTTGTGGCTTCTTTGAGATCATTTTCCATTTCATCTGACTTTTGCTTTTCTTTGACTAGAATCAATGATGTATGTAAATGACTAGATATCTGTGCTTCCAGTTTTACATTCATATCTTCCATTTCCTGTTTCAACACATCTATTTGACATGCTTTCTGACTACATTCCTCTTTGGTAATTTCAATTAAAGATTTTAACTGAACTAATCTGTGAACAGCTTTTTCCATTTGCTGTGAGACATTTGATCCAGGAGACAGATTTTGAGACAGGTCCTCACTGAGTAACATTTCCATAAGAGCTTCTTTTTCAAGCAAATTAACTTTCAGTTCTTCCTTTAAGCTTGAAATGATTTCATCTGATTCCTTCTCTTTTTCACATAGGACATTTTTAAAGGTTTTATTTTCTTCTTTTAGATTTGAAATTTCTGTTTGAAATTTGGAACTCTCCTGTAAAGCCAAATCTCTGTCTTTTCTGGCACTGTCTAGGTCTTTCATCACTTCTGTAAGCTGAGATTCTATTGAACCTATAAGAATCTCTTTTTCTTTCAAAGATGTAGCTAAAAATTGAGAAGAAATTTCCAACTTTTCTTTTTCACTAATGATTCTTTGTATTTCTTCTTCCATTTCTTTTACTTTTACCTCTGTATTCTTCAGTTCTAGCAATAAATGATTGCACTCTTCTTCCTTTTGTTTCAGAACTTCTTGAATTGAAGTTTTGGTTACACTATTCTCCTGAATATTGTCTTTGAGAGCTTCAATTTCTGAATTTTGATTGTCACATATTTTCTTTAGGTCTTCTATAGATTTTTCAGATTGTAATAAGCTATTTTCTAGGTCTGTTATCTGGTTATTTTTGGCCTGAATCTGTAATTCACACTTATGAATAATTTCCTCTTTTTCTAATAGAGTGCACTGAAGATCTTTGATTTCAGCATCTTTTGCTAATGTTGATTGTTCCATTATCTCCACTTTTTCACAGACAGCATTTAATGTTGACTTTAAATCAAATATCTCTTGTTTCTTTTCAGTCACTTCCTCACTCAGTATCTCTCTCTCCTGCAGGGTATTTTTTAGAATGTCCTCTTTTTCTTGAACCACAGTTGAAAGTTCTTGAATATGTTTTTCTTTTTTCTCGCTTTCTTCTTCCATAGATTTTATCATCTCTGTCTTTGACACAATTTCTTTCTGAACAAGGTCACACTTCATTATGGACTCTTTCAAAGATTTCTCTTTTGTGACCATCAACTCATTCAATTTTTCCAATTCTTCAATCTTTTGGTTTTGTTCCTTTTTAAGCTTATCCAAGTGGTTTTCCAAGGTTTCTTTTTCTGATTTTTCTTTCTCACACTCTTCTTCAAGCTTAGCGGTGCTTTCTTTCAGAAAAATTACTTCCTGGTTTGACATTTTGAGATTGTCATTTAATTGACTTTCCAACTTTTCCAACTCTAGAATTCTTGCTTGAGCATTTTCTATAGCATGATCTTTTGCTTGAATCATTTTTTCTAGTCTCTCAGCATTACTTTCACTGCTTTTTCGAAGCACTTCCATTTCTTTGCTTGATAATTCACTAGCAACCTCTTTTTGACTCAACAAGTCCTTTACATAATTAGCATTCTTCAATAATTCTTCTTTCAGTGAAGCCTCCGATATTTCCAAGCTTTGTACTTTTTCATTTAATTTTTGAACTTCAGATTTCTTTTCAGATATAATTTTAAATGAATTTTCTATATCCGTATTTTTCATTTGAATTGATTCCTCTAAAGCCTGCATCTCAATTTTTAAATCAGCATGTTTATTTTTTAAATCGGACAGTTCTTCCTCTTTGCAATTTACTGTGTGTCTAAGTCTTGTGCATTCCTCTTCAGATTGTCCTAATGATTTTTCCAAGTTAGAATTAGTCTCAACCTTTTCCTCAAAGGCAAGCTGCAATTCTTTCAAAGCTTTCTCTTTCTCTGCAATTAGCTTTTCTAATGCTGATGCTTTTTCTTCTAATTTTTCCAAATAAGTTTGCATATTTAAAATTGATTCAGATTGGTCTTTCTTTTCTCTTTGTAATAAGATCACTTCATCAGAAAGTTCTTTCTTTGTATTTTTCAACGAATCAAGGTGGTTTTGATATTCATCAATTTCTTTCTGAAGTTTACTTATGGAAACTGCTTTGCTGTCCTCTGCTTCTTTAATTCTGGTGTTTAAGTCGGAAATACACTCAGCAAGGCCTTCAATCTCTTCCTCTTTCTCCTTTAGTCGAAACTCAACAGTTTTCCTAGACATAGTAACCTCAGCCAACTTATCTATTTGATGCTGTTCAGCAGCTTCTTTTTCTTCAAGAATTCCGTCCTTCTCCTGGATCTTTTGCTGTAAACAATCAATACTTTCTCTTTGCTCTGTAAGACTTCTCTCCTTTGTGACAATGATGTCATTTAGTCTGTTCATCTCTTCAGTTCTGCTTTCTTGATCTTTTTGAAGTTCCAGTATTGTTTGGTCTTTTTGGACAACTTCATCCTGAAGCTCCTTTAATTTGTCAGTACAAACATTTTTCTCTCTTTCAAGAGATCTGGTGTACTTTTCTCTCTGTTCTTTGTCTTTCTCTAATGCACACACTTTGTCTTCAATGTTCACTAAATTAGTTTCCAATTTTCTTATCTCTTCTTCTTTCTCCTGAGTACACTTTTGGACTGCAGCAAGACCTTCACGTTCAGAATCCAGGTCCCGTTTTAATGAAACATTTTCCTGTTTTATCAATGATAAAGAGTGGGAGGTTGTAGAGAGCTTGGATGTTAATTGTTCAATTTCATATAAATACTCAGATAACAAAACTTTAGTTTCTTGAAGACTTTTCTCACTTTCATCCAAACAAGTTTGAACAGAAACATGTTGATTTTTTGCTTCCTGTAAATCATGCTCATATTTCTTTGCTTTTTCTTCTACATTTTTCAGGCAATGACTAGTTTCCTCGTGCTTTTCATGCAATTCTGTCATGCTGTGATTGGCATGCTCAAGCTGAGATTCGAGTGATTCACAGAGGGTTTTAAGATTTTGGCATTCCAGGGATAAGGAATTCACATGCTCATTTAAAGAAGATATTTCAGAGTTCTTAATCTGAGAGAGCTCGTCCATGCTTGTCTGTAAGTTTGCAACAGAACTATTAAGTGTCTCTATAGTGGACTGTCTTTCATTGCATAAAACTGATAATTCACTAACCTTTTCTGCAAGAAGGTTTCTCTCCGTGGTTGAACCCTGTATCTCCTGTGTTAACTTTTCCACTGTCTCTGCTAAGTCAGCCTTCTCCTGTCGTATACTTTCTAGATCCCTCGTCAGTTGATCAATGACTTCCACTTGATGCTCTTTCACTTCCTGCACAGAATTGAGTGAAGAAGACATCTCTCTGATTACCTCCTCTTTTTCACCAAGATTCTTTTGCAACTGTGAGAGTTGCTCTGCTAACTTCCTTTCAGCTTCCTTTTTTATAGCTAATTCTTTTGAAATTGCAGATCTATTGTCTAACAATGTTCTTATTTCACTTTGGAGAGATTCAACTTTTGAATTATGCCCCGAGTCCATATCTGTTAATTTATCAGATACTCTTTCTACCTCAAGGTTCTTGGCAGTAAGAAGTTCCTCCAATTCTGCAACTTTCTTTTCAAGCCCCTCCTGTATTTCAGAGTTCCTTTGTACATTCTTTTCACTTTGGTCTTTCAAAAGTGTCATGTTACTATCCATTTCCTTTAATTTGGCCTCACTTGCATTAACACTTTCCATCATAGTTTGAATTTTGGCATCTTTTTCTCCAACAAGTTCCTGTAAAGATTTTAAGCTATCCTCAGAACTTGAGGACAAATTTTTAATTTGCTCATCTTTTTCACAACAAATTGTTTGTAATTCTGTTACCTGACGTTCAAGTCCACTTTTTTGACTAGATAAATCAGACACAGATGTCCTGACTTCATTCAAGTCTGAATGAAGATTTTCGATTTCATCATCCTTCCTTTTAAGTTCAATTTCTTTATTTGATAAAGTCTCAGTTAATTCACTAACTTGTGTTGATATATAGTCTAATTTTCCTCTTGTCTCTGTTAACTCACTCTGAATCTGTTCCTTTTCCTGGCTTACCTCTTTAAATTGATCTGAAACACTACTTAACTCCTCTTTAGTCTGTTTCAATTCATTTGAAAGCCGCTCATTTTCTGAGTTTGCATTACTTAACATGGAATGTGATTCTTTATATTTTATATCAACATCTTCAATTTCAGAGTCTTTTTTCAACAATGAATGTTTTAATTCCTCAATCTGAATATTAAGGGATTGTATCACAGATTCTTTTTCCTCATTTTCAGTTTGTAATGAACACAATTGAGATTTCAGTTCACTTTCAGTGTCCTGAAGTTTTGAAGTTATAGCCTCTTTCTCGTGTAAATTGTCTTTGAGATCATTGATTTCTTTTTGTTTGCTTTCACAGTCCCTCCGTAAATCCACTACTTCACTTTCTTTAAGGTCAGAATTTGAACTTAAACTTTTTAACTGATTTTCTAAGTCACTGAGTTGAGATTTTAAATTCTCAACTTCTGATTCACTGTCAAGTTTAGATTGTTGTATTTCATTTTCATGTTGTTGAATTATCTGTTGTAGTGAACTTGCTTCCTGTACTTTACCTTTAAGCTCCTCATACAATGAATTTACTTGTTCTTCCTTACTCTGGAGTACTGCATTCAAGTTTTCAATCTTTTGTTCTTGACACTTGACAAGTTTCTGAAGGCCTTCATTTTCAGACATTAAAGCTGTGATTTCTTCTTTGAGGGAACTTGAGTCATCAGACGTTTTTAGATGAAGCTCTTCTTCTTTCGCTTGCTGTTCCTTGAGTAGAGCAACTTCCTCTAAATGTTTGCTCTTCTCAGCACTGGTGGATACCTGTAAAAAATTTAACATTTAAGATTTAACATTTAGAACTTTTTATTTTCCATAGCTTGACAAATTGGAAAATAGTTTAAATTTTGTAATCAATTTGGAAACAACAGAAGTCATGTATGTAAGATTTAATTTGTTTTATACAATGTGCAAATTACTTTATTTCAACACTAAGACAATCAAGCTAATGGTGGTAAATTTTACAATCTCTAATCACTAATGTACAGCCCCCTTCAAAAAATGAAATTAAAAAATGAAAAAAATGTACAGTTACGATTCATTCAAAAGTTTTCAATGATTTCTAATTTTAATAAATTCAAGTACTTGAAACATTAAATATGAGAGAAATATGAGAGAAAATATAAGTACTTCCAGACATAGATAAGTATTTTTCATTCCCATAAATCACTAACAAATCAAAATTTTTGTGTGACCTTGACATTTTATTAACAAAAGACGTCATTTTTTCCCTCTCACCTTGAGTTCTTTAATTTCCTTCTCCAGGGACTTCACCTTTGCTGTTAGCTGGGCTTTCTGTTTCAGATTCTTAGAACTAGCTTCCTCTGTCCCTTTCATACTCTTCTTCAACTCCTCAATTTTTTCTTCCATTTGTTTCTCAACTTCCACCACTTTGGCTTGAGCCATTTCAAAGTCACTCTTATAATGTTCTAGCTCTTTGATTACCTTTTCCTTTTCTAAGAGTTTTTCTTTCAATTCCGCCATCACCTGTGCTGTGGCATCCAGTTGCTCTGGAGCCTGGAGTGTGGTCTTTTCCTCTTCCTGTGGTGGTACCTGAGAGACTGGGACAGCTCCCCCAGGCCTCGTGTTATGAAGAAATCTTTCCTGAAGACTGTTATAATGAGCTACAGCTTGAGTGTAAGCTGTCTGATATTGATAAAGCTGAACTTGCATGGTCTGTACTGTCAGTTCTTTTTCCGTTTTCTCTAGTTCATGCTTTTCAATTAGATCTCTGATTTTTCCATCTAGCTTCTTTTTCTCGTCTTTCCATTGCATTTCCATGTCTACGATGTTGGCCTGCATGAGCATCAGTTGTTCTGAAGTGGATTGAAGCTTTTCTTTGAAGTTCTTTTGCACCTCTAAACTTTCCTCAATTTGTTTGTCTTTAGCTGTCACTTCTTTCTGAAGCACTTCAATCACTTTTATTTTTCCTTCTAAAACTTCATTTGTATCTTTCAGTTTCTGCTCCAACATTTTTAACACATGATCTTGCAAATCTACTTCACCTTTCGCCATTATCCTCTGAATGTCTTTTTCGTGTCTGGCTATTAATTCTCGAAGGTCATTCTCCCTCATTAGAAGTTCATCATCCTTCACTTTTACATTCTCACGAAGACTTGTCACTAATCCTTGACTCTCTTGTAAGGATTCCTCGAAATATTTCTGTGTCTCCCGAAGCTTCAAATCGAACTTTTCACTTTCTAGTTTCAGAGCATGATCAGCTTTTTCTACTTGTTCTTTCATTTCTGCAATTTTCTCTTCATAGTTTTCAACTTTGGCGGAAAGTTTGGATATTAGCATAGCTTGGCTCTGGATGTTTTGGTCCTTTTCTCTAATTGTGGTCTGCAAAATCTGAAAATTAAAAAAAATGTTTTAAAATGTCATCATTAAAGTATAAGAGTATAATTTTTTTCATTATTAGAAATTGACATTAGATCAATCAGATATGCACTTGCACACTGTATCCTCAAACATCGATATCTTAAAAGGTGCACTGTGGAATCCTTTAAATTAATGGGGTCAGGGCTCATGGGCAAGTAAAATCTTACTTTTTCATAATAAATAATTTAGTTTGTTACTCATTTTCAAGGAAGATATGATGAAACAATATGTTTACAAAATAAATGTGCATGGAAATATAATTTTGTGGGTAAGATTGACCATTAATTCCATGAGCATTGATCTCACATAAAGACTGGTGATTTCAGAGAATGTTCCAGTTCACTGGAAATTCCTACAACTTTTTCATGCTAACTTATTTAACAACTGCTATCTCAAATTCTCAATTTTTTATAAACTTGGTCACATTTAGTTTAAGAAAAAGAAAAACTTTATTTCCCCATCAATTATTCTTGTGACTGGCAGATGCATAACTGTGACATAGGGTTCAAAATCAGCTAGTTGAAAATAACATCAAGTGTACAAGGTTGACAAAGTGAATATGGAGCATAGACTTATGAATCAGAATGAGAGTTGGTGTATTGTTAATTACTAATGTTGCTTACTTCAAACACTTTGTCCCTCCCCTTGATGACCTCGTTCTTTTCTGAGATGAATTCCTGGAGATCCATCATCTTCTTCTCCAGATCCAGAACCTTGTTGTTGAGCTCCAGAATTTTGTTGTCTTTGTACACAATCTGAGCATACATCTCCTGCACTCCACTCTACCAATAAAAATACCTAACATGTTAATCTCCAAAACTTAAAACTAGCAATGGATTTCTTTTGTAGACATTAATTTACTCTCTATCCAGATTCCATCTTCACAATATCAAGGTTTAGTGATGCCTTTCCTCTTCAAAAAATTCATAACAGAGATTGCTATTTAAAAGTTGGGCTTGTGGTTGCACGACAGAATGACTAATAATAAATCAACCAATGAGAAGATATATCTTTCAAATCTGTCATTTTCCAGTGACTCAAAGCCTTAGCCATTCTTTTGAAATTATAACGCTGAGGACCTTCCGAAAATCAATTTCTGATATTTTACTTGACAAAACTAATCTCAAATCCTGCAATATTTTGCAATTTCAATTTTAAAGACACACTATATTTTTTTATACAAAACTTAAAAATATCTACAATAAAGGCTATTTTCTAATCCATTCCAGTTCGAGACAGGGAACTAATGAAAAAGCAGCTTTCTAGCTCTCTTTTAAATTGCAATTTTTGTCAAAAGTTTGTGAAGAGGAATAAGAGGGAGAGGTTTTTCTAAGTTGCTAGAACTTCTTACCAATCCCTTTGTATCAATTATACAATAGAATGTGTTAAAAACAAGACGAATGACATTATGAAGACATTCAGATTCCAGACCCTTACCTCTGGAGAGGAGCTCTCTGCCGTCTGTTCAGACTGTAATTGTGCGATCAGATTGGCGTTTCCCTCTAGCTGGGATGACAGGGTCTTGATGGCTTCCTCCTGCTCGGATATGACCTTGACCTTTGCCTCAATCAGTGCATCCTTGGAGGCTAGGAGTTCCTCTTTCTCACTGATGATGCGATGTCTCTCCTCCAGTTTCTTCTTTAACATGATCATTTTAGCCCTCCCTGCTTTGTCAGTGGCACTCTCATCTTCTCCTGTGGCTCCATCCTGGTGTTCCTTTATAAAGTATTAAAACAAATTGGTTAGATTTCTAAACATACTATCAATTAGAGCTCAAAAATGCTAAGTTCAAGAAGAATTACAGTAACTGTAGACCACCAAAATACTGTAAACGTACTTTTTTTCTACGGGGTCATAATTCCGTGGAATCTCTATTTCTGTTTAATCCACTGGAAGTAAATTACACGGATATCTTAAGATTCTCCTTATATGCCTTATATTTGAATTAAGTTCGATGGGACTATTTTCCGCGGAAAGTTTGTGACCGCGTACATAGCGTAAATAAATACCACACGGATAAAAGTACTTCTACAGTATTGGGCTATCTAACTTTAATTCTCTGGTTCTCAGGCCAATTTTCTCCAAAACAGATGCTGGAGAGCGGCATTTTATTTATCATTTTATTGGCAATAAAGTAGATGAGGAAGGTTTTTTTTTTATTTTAATTTTCGAATTTTCTTTAAAATAAAGATAATTATTTTTATTCACAGATATACTTTCCATACTGTTCAAAGGGTATGTGTTATCCATTGCTTATCAGCGTGTGATGTCTTTGAAAGTATTTTCAAATGAAGTAGCCAAAATCTCTTTGCAAATGGCAAACGAAAGTGATATTTGAGTACTAAACTATGAAAAAATCAATACAGAATTTTTTTCTTAGATTGGTCTCCGCAATACCAACTTTTTATTTTATCAAAAGTAAAATAAAATTAGCAATGTGGCTACCTCAAAACGGATGCACGCGGGCCTGAGAACCAGAATTTCAATATTAAGTAGCCTTGTGATGTCTTATTTTCATGAGAAAGATATTTAGTACATGTATTCATAAGCAAGACCAAATTTTCATGAATCTAGTTTAAAATTTTGTAGAAAAACAAAAAGATACCTGAAAATTGTATTTTTGCTAGCAAACAATTTCATGTAATGATGTGAACATTTTCTATATGTCCTTGATTAAAAATTGATTTAATATATAAGGCCAAAAAAAATTAATCAATTGTTTCTCAGGCCAAAAAAATCAAAATTTGATGCGGCAGGCAGGCTTTTTTTTTTTTTTTTAGAAGCAGGTTTAGCACCTTTTCTAAGCCATTTGTTCAATAAAGTGATAATATCTACCAATTCTTAATTTTTGCCCTCTGAAATTGGTTGTAGTATGTATTCAACTTTAAATAATGTTACTCCAAACATTTATTTAAAAGTTAATTAATAAAATGCTGAAAATTTAGAAGAAATATATTGATTTTCTTAAAAAATAGCATTTATGAAAAGGGGAATAATCGATTTTCTTTTTCAACTTGGAAAAATAGAAAAATCTCTCTTTTCAATATGTCAATAAAATTGATCAATGCGGCCGTTTTTGAACTGATGCGGCGGTGCCTGAAAAACTATTGATTAATTTTTTTTGGCCTAAATGGCCTTTTTAGACCCTCCCATACTAAGAGTATAACTTAATGTAAAATACAACCTAATGTGTTAGGGGGAAAATTGCAAAGAATTTGTATATCAATAGAAACGACTACAGCAATGAATGTTTTCTCTAAGCATTCATCTCAACTTTGGAGTTGGAAAGTTAGCTCAGAACTGTTTCAGTGCCACACTCCTCACATGTAACACATTATCTGTACCTTTGTAGTTTCCTCAACTTTCTTTCCAGCAGCTTTTGCATCCTTGGCCACTTTAGCTTTTGCTTGAAGTTTTAATTTGGAAATCTTTGCATTGGTCTCCTATTACAAGAGAAAATAATATCTGTATTGTGGGGAAAAATAAATTCCTATTGCTATTTGTACTGCAGTGCATTCTTGAGATTAAAGTTAGAGATCAACAATTTCCTCAATTTAAAATAAAATGTCAATAAAAAACAGTATTCATTTAAAAGTATACGTATGGACTACATTGAGATCATTCCAGCAAAGTATGCATATTTTTTCTGCCATTGACAATGTAGATAGTTTGTTATATTCAGTACTGTTTGTTTTTACCTGCAGCTCTTTATCCTTGGCTTTTATAGTTTCCTCCCTGTCTCGGATCATGGTCTTCAGCTGTTCTATCATCCTCCCCTGTGCCTCGCACTGCATGGCAAGGTCACTGTCAGCCATGTTGCTGTCTTCCCTTAGGCTGTAAATGAACAGACAGTAATAACACTTCAATTCCATTAACTCTGACAATATATTGTTACCAAAATCATGTTTTTCTACAAGGTCATTTTACATTAAATGTCTCCTTTACTGACTATGTTTGAGAATGGTGTGATGCATATCAAATTTAAAAATATGGACTGGTTCAGAAAAAAAATTGTTTTGTTTTTATTTTAACTTCAAAATTAAAATTGTGGTAAAGAAAATTACTGAACATGGAATAAGAGGGATTTCTCTTTTATCTCAGATAAAGTTTGAAATTCTTAAAAATAAAGGATTTGCACAAATTGTAATACTGTACCTGTTTGCACCTTTAGGACTTTTTTCAGGTTTCAACACATATTATATTCATCCTCCATATTCTGCAATAGAAAAAAAATACATTCATGGCTTTTTTTTAATGCCACACATATTTTCTTTCTTTTGACATATCCTTCAAGACTCCCACTTTGACACTTACACGAATAAGAAAATTCAGAAAATCTTTTTGGTTAAGAATGACAGAAAGAGTTCTCACTCCAATTAATTATTACTTTATGTAGAAATAAGATTGGTTACAGTAAATACTTATCTGGTTTGCTATTGACTATCAACAGATAATCAACCTTTAGGCTTACAAGAGTGGGGTAAAGTCTTCATGGGATTAATTAATCCTAAATATTTCTTTCCTAACAGACTGGGTAAAAAAGTGGTTATGCGCAGTGTTTGAAATAATTGTATGGCCAACCGCCCCAGATTCTGTCACATGTGAGCAGATTTGCACCTATTGCGTGATGCCCCGCTGGACATGTAAAAATTTTCCATAAATTAAAATTCAGATATTTGATAAAACTCTCAAATCAACTTATATTTCTGGTTGCAATGTGTAACAAACAACCGGATAAAATTCATCATGCACCCTATGGACCCGGGATCGCAAGTATAGTGAGCTGGCCCAATTCACATTATTGCTAAATCAAACTTTTCAAAGACAATTATTTTTTTCTGGCTTGTACATTTTTTGCAGGCCTTTTACTAGCAATCAGTCCTGCATATCTAGCTAATTTTACAGTGAGTTTCAAACACTGGTCATTCATTATATATAGTGAGAGTAGGCTCCCACTAGTGCTATAACATGTATAACTAGGTTACCCTATAGCTTAGTTGGTAGAGCCTTGCATTTTAAATCTGAGGGTAGTAGATTCCAGATACAGTGTGAACAATCCCCTTTCTATACAGTTATACTTAAAATGTATTTCCCCTCAAATGAAAAGTCACAATTTTATCATTTAATCCTGTCTCACAATCTATGAGATTCATCAACCTGGTATATCTCTGTAGTTGGTCAGTAACAAACCTTATAAGTAATATTAGACAGTCATTAACAAATGTAATAAGTTATTTATTTAACCAAGAAGGGCACATACTTAATATCAAGAGGGATAGTTTGTCAGTCATTATACTTGTACAATCATTTCATCAGTCATGCATAGCAAATACAGCAGGGTTGCAAATAACCACTCGCCCACTCGCAAATGCGAGTAAATTTTCCTGTGGGCGACCAGCTTTTGAGAATGTTACATGTTACATGTTACATGGCGAGTAAGAATTTATAGGACCTTTTCCAGAATCAGATCGTAGTTTGTTTCTACTCAATGTACTTTCGTTTTCATATCCCAGACGGATTTTTCTGTGTTTGATCATTCAGCTGATTCCATTTTTCAACAAATATTAATTGTAGCTTTATTTGCGATATAAAATATGTCAACCTAGTCAACATTTACCTTAAATTTAAAGAGTAATAATTATTGTCACAAGAATTCCCCCAACAACTTTTTGAAATTCATTTTCTGCCGCTGGGCAGCCATTTTGGGTGTCCACTGTAAATACAACACCTGCTCAATTCAGTCCAGGGATGTTTGGCTCTCTCATTTATAAACCAAAAATACCTGGCATACCGACCCTTGGTTTTTATGGAATCAAACATTTTTTTAAGCCTAATTCAAAATACATGCCCCGAAACAACTGAAATCAAAAGAAGCAAATTTGAATTGAATGACAACATGGAATTTCATACATATAGTAGTGTCAAAGTCTGCAGGAAAATTTTGAAAATAAATAATGAAATACTATGGGCAGTAAAGTTTTTTCTAATGTTTTAATATTAAAAGATTTTTTAAAAAAGTGAAAAAAAAATTGTGGGCCCCATAATATCAATGTTGGCTAGTAAAATTTGTGAAGTTGGGGGCACATGCCTTTAACAGGTCCAGTACAAAATACATTTAGCTACATATAGAATTACCTACGTAAAATACCAAGGTAAATTTAGCTATTTCAATGTAACTTTTCTTTTTATTGGAAAAGAGACCAAAAATCGCAGTTAAATGACTATTGATATTTATACTAGGGAGACTCTAAAAAACATTCCTAGTAAAGCAGAGATAGTTTAAACATCGCTGTGTTTGGTCAGTTTTTGCAAAACATTAATTCCATTGTTTGGTTATCTGTCCATGCGGTGAGGCATGACTGAGTATGATTACTTCAAATTGTGCTGAATAATTACCGACCTATTATCATGTTAACCAGAACTGGACTTCTTTGTCATTTCATTCAAGGAGTAACTGTTCTAACTGTCATACATAACATGGAATTTCATACTTTAATTACAATTAGCAGAAAAAGACATTTGCAAGAGGGAAAAAATTGTTTTGAAAATAAAGTTAAAAATGATCACTGCATCAAAATGAAAGTTTTTTCACATGTTTTAATATTAAAAGATGCTTTTTTAAAAAAGAAATTCATTTGGTAAAAAAAATTGTGAGGCCCCAGGTAATATCAATGTTGCTAGTAAAATTTGTGAAGTTGGGGGCCCACATGGACCTGTCTAAGGTTTATATGTTATTTGCAACCCTGTACAGCCAGCAAGTGTGTGTCAGTTGTTCTTGTGTATGTGTATTTGTGTATGTGTGCTGTAACTGCCTTCCTGTTTCACATAAAATTAATCGTGTTTATATGAATGTAGGATATAAACGATTAACATGTAAACAAACACGCCAACAGGATTTTATAGCTCTTTTCCTTTACATTCATTTACTCATGGCTTTTCACATTATTTTACAATACACCAGAATGTAACTGCATGTAAATATGTATATAATTTTTTGTAACTTTCATATGTTTGTTTTGGTAAGTAAGATAAGGTATCGTGTCGCCGAGATGTGACGTGTCATCCACATGTGCCTCAGGTAGACGCGTTCGTCATCCAATCTGGGCATAAATTCCAATTGAGCATCGGTTATCCTTACAATCAATGCTTACTTGGTATTATTTTGTGAAAGATTCGTTGTTTCTATCTACTTACGCTCAATCCTGCCTGCAAATGTTTATGTTGTCTTCCAGCCGTCAACAATGTCCTCCATGTTGGAATTTTGCACTTGATCACGTGACATTCCGATCCCGATGAAAATTTGAAAATATTTTCATAAGTGCACAGATCGGCCGGCGAGTTTAGTCTCATGCTAAAACTTGAAGTAAACATTTCTGTTGTCCATATAAATAAAAATATATTAGAACGCTATCCTTGTAAACTAAATTAACCAACATAAAATGGATTTTTTTTTTTTTTTTAGATATTTTACATATTTTGTCTTCAGTTTGCTTAGAGATTATACATGTACTGTAGTAATCAATTTGAAATAAGTTACTGATGGTGAAAAATTTATATACATATATTCATGGTGACAAACAGTCAAATTCTGAACAGTCAGGCCCGTTTCACTTTGTTTGGGATTGGGAAGGAGAAACAAATATTTGCATCTTGCTAAATATGACCATGGTTTTTCATATATGAATTAAAATTAAAACATTTTTGTTATGTAATCCTTTGTGTTTTTAGTACATTATATAGCATAATAGATTTGGATATATTAAAACCTGTACATTAAGTCACCTTTAACCGTACATTAAGTTGACAAAACTCTCAATTCTTAACTTAATCGACAGCGTTTTGTTAACTTAATGTACAGTTACAGGTAACTTAATGTCCAGGTTTTAAATATCCAAATCTATTATGCTAAAAACAATCCATGAAATGCTAAACATTTTCTGAACTTCATTAGTAATGAAAACAGTCAAATATTTTTTTTTAATTTAATACACAATTATGCATAAATATCAAACATTTTATTTTATACATGAAATGATCAACAGTATATCGTCTTTGGAAAAAATCTAATGAAAAAAGACACACTTGTAATTTCCTGATGCATAATAATTTTATAACATGCACATCCAGAAGTTTCTTAGTTTATTAATAAACAAACGTTTATCCTCTTCACAACATTTGTAAATGAATGCTGGACGTGGTAAATCCATTCCATAAACGTTTAGAAATACATATCCAACAGCAATTTAAATTTTGAAAGAGAAAGGTGTATTTCCCGATGAAATTATAATCTCACTAGAGGCACCGCAGAATCATTTTTGGGACAGGGATCACAAATTTTCATCTTTTTAATACACTTGCCATCATCTGAATCTCCCATATTTCCATGAATTATTTCATTTACTTCAGAATTTGTATACCTACAGAGATTTTTGTAGAAATATTTTGGAGAAATATGTATTACTTTCTTCATCCTATGAGGACATCTTTACTCATGAAGCTTTACGTGGGAAGTGGCCAGAAATCAAGGGAACTATGATTTAAATCTAAATTTACTTGGCACTGTCCATTAAGTTAAACAATACACTATTGTTTTCTCCCCTCACTCTCTGGATAATCAAGTGTGTTACGTAATCATAGCAAATACATAACCATCTCCTGGGACAGTTTATTAAGTTAACAAAAGAGAAAATGTTTTAAGTAGGAGAAAGTCCTCAAACTGTCCATTCTGTGAGAGAGAAAAACTATCCTCGGCCCTTCGGGCCTCGAACAGTTCTTTCTCTCACAGAATGGACAGTTTTCGGACTTTCTCCTTTACATAAAATATTAAAAGATAAACAATATACCAAGTTTATGAAGATTATGTATTCTATTAGAACAATGCAACAGCATTTTGTGTACGTATCATTACAATTTATATGTAAAACTAAGTTGTTTAGGTTATTAACAAATAAATTGATGATGCAGGGATATCGGTAATAGTAATCTAATTTAAAGAAAGCATTTTGCAAATTCTACGTTTAATATGATGAAATTGTTGGCAGATATATACATCATTGATCATTTGATTGTTATGTCGATTGTTCACTTGTATATACACTGAATTGAATGTATAAATTATATTATGGATTTTTTCGGTTTACCCTATTATGATAAAAATCCTTTGTGGTCCTTGCTACAACCCTGTTGTTTTAACCTTACGCCCGCTCCGTTTGAGCTATTTCAAATAATTATTTGTAACTTTAAGAAAAAACTGCATCGAGATCAACCCAAAATGTAATAATGCAAAATGTCATTATCATTTTTAAGGGGTTAGAATATATATCATACATGTATTACCATTTAACATCGAGGTCAACGTAATTAATATTGTGTTAAAATAAAGTATATAATCATCATTTTGCTCTTTTTAAATATTTATTGGAGGATCAAATAAGATTTTTATTCTTTAGAGTAGAGTACAGTCTAAAGTTTGCACATTGCATTAGTTTTAAAATTATTTTACTTTGGTTAAAAAAATACGAATGTACAATTAGACATTTTATACTTAAGGGGTTATTAAAAAGCTCGTGGACTGATGCGATAAAATTAAGATCAAGTACCCTGCATGTGGTTACAAAAATTTAAAGGAACAAATATTCTTTAAGCTTGATACTTCAAATTATCATAAGGCGAGAAAGAAATATGAATTAAAAGATGAATTTCATTTTATACTTAAATTAGTACAATTCTCAGTTAACCTTGGACTTTCATGCAGTAATTAAGACGTCCGCCATTTGACAGACGCTAAATTTTACGTAGCGCCGAGAATTCCAAGCCTCACTAAAAGTGCAAGGTTAACTGAGAATTATACTAATGCCCTAAATATGACAATTTGTTGACAAAGAAAATTATGCATGTCGCCCAAGTGTTTATAAACTGATACAAACAATACTGTTGTCAAGTTCCAATACAGGATTGAGGAAATATGTAACCTTTGAAAAAATAGATTATACGTTTTGAAAACAGATCAAGAAATGAACTGTTGGATTTATACGTATGCATGCTTTATTTATTCATACAATATCAATCTACTGTAATATATACGGTATGTATAATGGTTTAATTCCTATAAGATGTGTCTCTTTGTTTTAATAAAATCTGAATTTTTAAATCTGAACTAAATCGGATGTATCTTATCTCTCTGTACTCTGTAACCCGTTGAAATATTTTCTGGGTGTATGTCATTGTTTTTCCAGGGATGATACTACATGCGTAGAATCTTGGAAAACGGAACCCATTTCCCCTTTTGACGACAATGCAGTTTCTTAAATGATTAGATATTATTCATATAAAATCTACGATTACAATAATTAGAAACTGCAGAATAGGGAAAAATTGAAAATTTTCAGGAACAATTGTATCCTATCATATGAGAGAAATAATTGGATTTTTGGATTAATTACATTTACTCGATCATATTAATGGAAATTTTTTTTTTCTCCGTCAAACTTTTAGAAAAAACGTCTTCTTCGAGGTTGCACCGCCTGGACATACCATGATTGAAAATTCCTCATTCATTGATTTAATTATTGTTTTGTTTTCCTGTGAATAGATAAACATGTACAAGAAGTAGAAACATTGTTGATTTGTTCCTTTTATTCTCCATAACTTTACGTACAATTCTCAGTGTATATAAATAAATGTTTCACTATATACAAAAAAAAATTATTATTAATTCAATAACATTTGAAAATCCTAATTCCATCGTCGCTACCTAGTTTTTCTTGTATTTAAAACTTTCTTTTTCAATAAATGGCTGCTCCGTATCATGTCTGCCGCCTTTTCCGCCATCATTATAGATGGCGCTACTAGATCAGGTGACACTAATGTCGGCATCACAGAAGAATCTACAACACGAAGTCGATCTATCCCCTTCACCCTGCAAAAAAGTAGAATGCATTATATGCGCTAATTATACATCAATTACTACCAAGATTTAACCTTGCTGCACGATTTCTTTTCCAAGAATTTTAAATGGCCAAATGCAGGTGTGCATACAAATTCAAAACCGTAAAATGTATGTACATGCATGTATATTGCATGCCTAGTCTGTGAATGATGTAAAAATGTGATGTGATAATCAAAAGTGAGAATACTGTTAAAGTAACATCCGCTGAAGAAAATTCATACTCTTACAAAGGTATATGTTGAGGCAAATATTTGAAAAAGAGAGCTTTTGCTGCTCAGTTTGAGAAATAAAGATCATCATCAGCCATTAAGACGAGATGTGCAGACGACATGACACGTACCTCAGCTTGTGATCAACCACTGTTGTGTTATCCTTCTGGGACCCCATTTTACATCCACCAATCAGATTGCTCCCTGGTACCGCTAGATGGCGCACTAAGCACTCTAAATAATTGTCAGAATTCAGTTTATGTTTCGAACACTTGGTAAATGGAGAGTATGGTGGCCTTGTCTGTATGCGGCTAAAGGCTTTAGTCTTCATAAGCTTATAGTAATACCTTATCCCTGTATAATGGAAAAAATGTGAAGATAAGAACAGTGAGTGATCTAAAAGGAAACTATACAACAAATCTATGAACAGGGCATAAAACACGGATCCGGGTTATTCCAGCAGTGGGATCAGGCGTCTTGGAGAGGTCAGATTTCCTGTCAAACGGTAACACCCACCACAAGCCCTGACCAATAATTATTATACTGAATATATACCTTAGTCAAATGTATATTTCGAATGTTATCTCCATGAATGAATAAACAAGTAGTGAACAAGATTTTATTCTTGACAAGCACAGATTACCTTGGATGAGACCAGTGACGTCATCTGGATGATCCAGATACCTGGGATCCACATCCGGCGGATCAAACGGATTAGTGCTACGTATCCTCAATGTTCCTTTACTCTTAATCCCCAGAAGTTTGATAAGGAAGGTGACGCCTTCAGTAGAGTTAGGCTTCCCATTTCTGACAGGTATGAGCTCTTTCTTAACCTTCAGTGAGAAACAATTTGAAGTCGAATACACTTTAAGTCGGAATGATTACGTCCAATAAACCTTCTCAGTACTTCTTACAAATACTGGTAATGAGCGGTATAATTAACATTAAAATGAATTAGGGAGCAACAAAATGCGCAAACTTAATCTTCAAGTAGGGATTTTAAACTTTAAAATTATACAGAATATTTGTTATATTGTACCTACATTTGCATCATAGCCATAATCCATTGCTGACCAAAGTTCCGGAATGGTTGCTAGGAAACTGAACATTACATCGGCTTGATTCGTCTTATTCTGTTTTGTTTCTACCAAGGAATGGCCTACAATTGCGCCATTTGATGACAAAGGACCTGCCAAAAGATTAATATTTTACCATTTTTGTGTGAAAATATGAATACTGATACATGTAACACATGTTGAATATTCTAATATTCAAATATCCTGACAATAAATAACTTACCTCCCCCAAACAAACTGTATTTCAGTTTTGCCAGGACGCTGGTTGACCTTGGGTAGTTCACTGTTAAGGATTCGTTTATGGAGCCTCGGATTGGAAAGATCACGTGATCTTGAATGAAGTTTCCTACCGGAAGATCAGAGTGGACCGAAATCTGTTTCAGAAAGAAGACTCCGTGTTTAACTTTTGAATTTCAATGTACAACTGATACAAAAATCAAATATGAAGTAAGGGCATTGAGTATAGGATCACAATGTTTGTTTGCCTATCTACACATAGTAACACGTACTTTATATAATATGTTGTATTTTTATAGAAAAGGGGTAGTAAAAATATAAGTTGGAAGAAAAATAGATCATGACAAATTTTCAATGTGCTTTCAACTTAAATTCTTGATTCGTAGTGATTGATACACTTTTTACCAAATGCAAACTCACTTTGTGTTCCTCTAGGTGGGCCCTCGGCCCGACCCCCGACAGAAGCAGTATGTGTGGGGACCCTATGGCTCCTGCCGTTAGCACCACCTCCTTCGTGGCCCCCACGACTTCCCGCCTCCCGTTCTGTAGGTACTCCACCCCTAACGCTTTACCGTTAGAAATCAGAATCTGGAGGCAAAATATTTCTGATCATCGTTAGATCCATTTTGCAACAATTCAGTGAGTAATAAGTTCCAGTGTAAGATGAACGTCATTCTTACAGTAACCTTAATTCTGTACCAACCTTGGTGACATGGCAGTAGGTGGCGATGTGGAGATTCTTTCTGTCCATGGCCTGTGTTAGGTACGCAGAAGCAGTACTCACTCGTCTTGAGCGGTCCAACAGCGAAGGACTGGAGCAAAATCCTGAAAAGATATACTCAAGTAACGTATACATGTACCTCTCAAGGTAAAAATAAAAGTCGTCTTCTTAATTGCGCCTAGCCCAGCAGGAACTTGATTAGACTCGCTCTTCTGCTGTCACAGAGGGGACACTATTTGCTCTGTTCACAATTTTTTTTATTTGGTCACTTTTGAGCATGGTTACTGTTCATCATGTTCACATTTTATTAACGATATATGTTAATGCAAATAAGGTTCGAAGCAATGCTGCCACGGTTACTTGCCTATGGCGTCTTTGCCGTTACAGTCTGTGGCTTTACTCCCCATTGTTTCTGACGCTTTCTGGTATATGTCGTGAAGAAGTGGGTGATGCTGAGAGCCGTCGCTGACAACTACAGGTCCTCTTGTGGAATGATATGCTGCTCAGGCAAAGGAAAAGTTCGAAATAGTTACTGTATTTCCTGACAAGTGACAACATTCCAAGAAGCGAAGAAAAGATCAGGGGAAGAATTACTGTGAACATATAAGTCTGTCAAAATTGCTTTGATCTTTGAAGTAAGCAAAATGATTATAAAATAAATGTACATGTAAATATCAAAATTGTGTAGCATATACCCGAAGTTTGGAATTTTTCAATACGAAAGTCTTCTAATTTGTGGAAGTATGGAATGACGTCACGGAAGCCCCACCCTGAGGCCCCATTCCTCTCCCATTCATTATAGTTAGTGCTGCCACCCCGTAAGTATACCATGTTATTTATAGAACTGCTTCCTCCTAGAACGCGACCCATGTTGAAGTGCCCCCTCTGTAGAAACGAAATCAGCATGATTTTACTTAAACTCAATCAGGATAATCAACGAAATTCAAATACTTTTGTATAATTTCTTCGCTAAACTTTCAGATTATAAGAACCTATTGCTGTAAACAGAGAACTTTTCGTCTCCGTTTTATTTTTCGTCCCTTTTTCCATAGCTTTAGTTGGGCAAATTTAAAAAGGGGCGAAATCAAAGAATCCAGTATAATTTCTTAAACAAAACTGTAACTGGGCGAATTTTTAAGCGGGGAAAAATTGTTTGCAAGGGTGAAATTGCGAAAATAACACGAAGCGAAAGTAACCCTTTATACAATATGTATTGTAGCATGTCTTTTTAAACCATTGTGGCAACGCACTTTGAAAAAAAATTTTCAAAGTGCGTTAAAATTGGGACAAAATCAACGCACTTTGAAAAATTTTTTCAAAGTGCGTTAAATTTTGGACATACTCAACGCACTTTGAAAATTTTTTTCAAAGTGCGTTAAGAGTTTTCATCAATATATTTTACCATGGAGACACTTAACGCACTTCGAAAAAAAATATGTAAACACGAAAATACGGGATATAGATTTTAGTAATGGAACGATTCTATTTCAGTGTTATTTATCTGACAAAAAACTTATGAATTGTTTTAATCCCGAGGAGAAGAGGAAATGCCGGGTAGAAGATCTTTCAGCTTAACTCTTTCTCTTTCAATACACAGGCGTCGGTAACAACTCAACCTACCTAAAATGGATATGTACATGTATTTACATAACCGGTATGACGTTAAAAACTATATATCAATAATTGTATTAACTTAAAGCAGATGAAAACTAGAAATTTTTAAGCACAGTAAAACTTATGAGAAAGAATTTTCATAGTCTTGAAAAATCAGATTACCCCTTTTTGTGAAGATAAATGGCTATGCTCCCCCCCCCCCTCCCCCCTTACTTCCTACATCTACTTATTACAGATTAGAACTTTTTCTTTTAAAAAGAAACGAAATAATGATATTAAAGAATCATCTCTATTTTTTCTAAAAGACCCATTCCTGTTTTATAATTACTGTATTTATCAAAACCTTAAATATTTAAAACGTCAATATCTCTGGTCCTGAAGTGATCTTATCACCAAAAAGTGATCCAACCAGTGTCAATTATTTATCAAACCAATTATTTGTAAGAATATTGATCAAGCTTTATATTTTTTTCAAAGTGCGTTAATATGGTCGATATTAACGCACTTTGCAAAGAAATGTTATTTTTTCAAAGTGCGTTAGCTTGGTCCCAAAATTTAACGCACTTTGAAAAAATTTTTTCAAAGTGCGTTGTAACAAACCATGTCTACTTCAAACCTTAAAAGGTTCCCCAGAGGCCATTGGAATAAAAGGATCAAACTTGAAGAAGTCAAATTTGTAGGTTATTCTCGTATATCATTCAACTTGCTTTAAATGCTTAAAAATTTATTTGGAATAATTTTACAAATTTTAATATCAATATCAAACATCCTTAAGTTAAATCTACATCTCCAAATTCAAACCCCTTTCTTTTTATGTGTTTATTCAAGTTAATAAACGGCTTTGCAGAATCAAATTTGATCAGACACCACCCATTATAAAACTATTATAAGAGGGCGAGTATTACCTTTCCAGCCAAAGATTTGAAAGCATGTTGTTGTGGAGTTGACATAAACTTCCAATCATGCTCCGTTTTCCGCTCAAGTGCGGACAGAAGAGGGACTTTGAGATCGGGATCGGAGTCTAAACCCCCAGCCTCCAGGAGAAGGACCGTCACATCTGGGGACTCTGACAGACGACTGGCCAACACCGAGCCGGTGGTGCCCCCTCCAACTAAAAATAGCATACATGCACTACAAATTTAATATTGGTTGATTACTATAATTTCAGGGAATAAATTGAATCCCACATAAAACAAAAATGAGAAATTGAACCTTAAAAACAATTTTGATTCTAGAAGCAAAATTTGCATTTTTTTTACACACTGTTTTTTTTTTTAAAGTATTGAAAAATATTTTTGAATATCACTCTTTGGTCATACCAATAACGAAATCATAAGTAGCGTTGATTTTGTCTGGAAGAGCCGCCCTGGACTTTGTTCCGTTAAAGTAAAGAAATGCTAGAATGGCAGACAGCAGTCCTAAACCCAACCACCAGGCTAGAGAGCGCCTATAATATACAAAAATACAGACTAGAGAGTGCCTACAATATACAAAAATAGGCTAGAGAGCGCCTTCAATGTACAAAAACACAAGCTAGAAAGCAGATACAACAGACATTTTCTACAAATCAACAATAAGGCTAAAAAGCGCCTAAAATATATTTTTAAAAACATATACAATATATTGTCTACAATACACACTAGGCTATAGAGAGCGCCTAAAATATACAAAAACGCAGGCTAAAGATCGCCTACAATATATATAACAGATATACGACAGACATTGTATACAATATAACCACCAGACTAGAGAGCGCCTAAAATATACCCAAAAACAGGTAATAGATCGACTACAATATAAACAGATATACTATGGATAGAACCACCAGGCTAGATAGCGCCTAAAATATACAAAAAAAATCAGGTTAGTGATCACCTATAATATACAACAGATATACAACAGACATTGTCTACAATTCCATTACTAGGCTATAGAGCACCTACAATATACAAAAACACAGGCTAATGATCGCCTATAATATACAACAGACATGCAACTGATATTGTCTACAATGCACCCATCTGATCAGGCTAAAGGGCGCCTAAAATATACAAAAATGCTTGCTAAAATATACTAAAGATATACTACAGATATTGTATACAATATTCATAATCATCTATCAGAGTTAGTGATCGCCTACAATTTGCAACAAATATTAACTATACAATATTAACTACAATTAAATAAAATAACACTACTAGACCATTTACAATAATACAAGAGGAGTCGAAGTTAATATTTTTGTTGTTTTAAAAATGATGCGCCCTCCTTCCCCGAATTTAATGTATGGATTTTAAGTTTGGTAGGCAAAATTTATGACCACATAGTGGAGAACGTCAGATAGATTCCGTTCCTCAGATATCATGCAGACATAAATCATCTTACAGAGCAGTTATACCAGTAAGGTGTCCATCCATTATCAAGTAATGATTTTGTTGACTTTTTGTGGTTGATGTTGATATAAGTGATGATTGATGTTGATATATGTGATGTTGACTTTGAAAATTATATCTTATATAATGTAAATCTAAATTATATAATATGTGAAATCCGGTAATCTGATTGGTCAATACGAAGTAATTATTTTTTAATAACGACCGCTGAATTAGCGAATAAGGACTCGCACGAGCTGCCTCGTTTTCACTTTCGCTTTAGACAAACATGAAAGTTCGCAAGTTGTAGGTGAGGAAAATTTAAAACATATAGTGCAGAACTCTGAGACTGATAATACATAACAATTACTAGGATATTTGTGAATATTTTTCGGGAATAATACGCACATACCATTTCATGATTGAGTTCGACATTTCAACTCGGCGAGCAGAGTTTTAACGCTGTTTACGCGATTACGAAGACTAAAGAAAATATAGACAAGCATGCCATGTAAGATTGTATCTGTTCTTAGAAGACATAGGATATCTATTTTGTCAGTGCATTTCGTCTGCAAGTGTAAACGAGAGCGATTCTCAATCTGGGGGAGGGGTTACTCTGTGTCGCGGTTATTCGGAGATAGATATCTTGTGTCATTATTATGATATGGGAAATTTATTGCAGAAACAATTTCCTCTGAGTAATATTCAATGAATTCTGAAACATTTACATTCAACTTATTTATGGTTAATACCATCTATGTAATTAATAGGATGATATACATTGCATTAATAAATTTGGGAAATTATTATTTATATAATATAATAAATAGACTATGTAGGTCAATATGCATTTATAATGACCCAGGATCAATATTGACCTCAGATACATGAAGTATATCGACCTCGGGCTAGCGCCCTCGGTCGATATTATGTAATCCTGGGTCATTATAAATGCATATTGACCTACATTGAGTCCATATTTGTATATTAAACCGTGTTTATTTTATGTAGATACATTTATTTGTTTTATGTTCAAATCAACTGGCATGTTAGTGATACAAATAGTTATATTCTATAATGGTAAGACAGAAAATTATCTCTTCTATGATTACGTGAAAATCCTCAGATTTACGATAATTATTGTATGATCAAAGATATAACTGAAACTAAATCGTCTATCAAACAAAACTGTCAAAAAACATTCTATATTAAAGCTTCTTAAACCCAAAACTTAAATATGATCGTCTTATCAGAATTTTTCATTACATCATTGAAGTACGAATCACAAAGTTTATACCACACCACACCCTTATAACAGATAATCTCAAGTTTTTGTTCAAACATAACATTCATTATCAACCATTTAATCATGCACATCGGTCAAACGATGCACTGCACGCGCGAGCACGTGCTATTCTCGTTAACGCTTTACGCTACTTTAAAAACCTAATTGCTGAGGTAATATAGTGGTAATACATTGGCTCCTACCTTCAGCTTGATGCAATAGTTAGAACGTAACCCTGCGTCATGGTAAATCACTTACACTGGGCGGACATACATTGATTGCTGTGATCGATGTGCTTTTGCAGACTTTACTCTTGCTCTTGGAATACAGTAAAATCTTCCATGTTGTTAGTAAAATTATTCTTTGACTAATGTTAGCATTATTGGGATGTCACTTTGGGATGATCAGACCGGTAGTAACCGTTTCAAAGGGGGCAGGGGGCAAGAAATCTAACAATACCCCCCCCTTTTAAAAAAAAACTATAACTGATTCAATGTTATATCCCCAAAACATTTATACACTGAATTGTCGAAGTTTTCCCCGTTACTTCCCAATCATGACAAGGAGCACACGTCAGGTGTGACGGGCGACAGGGGATGCTCACTTCTCCATGACACCTGATACCGCCTCTGAATTTTATATACAACCAAAAACGTCGTTATAGATTTATATACATACCTTGTTTATACTACAAACCCATGAAACCGTTTGATCACTTCATTTAGAGATAAAAATTAAGAAAAAGAAAGATTCTTTACGACTGAACTTTTTTGTAAGACGTATTAAGGCGATCAAAAGGCTGTGGTTTAAAATAAAGAGAATGGAGCTAATAAGAATGGTATACGATACAGATATTTATACGGCAGAAGTTTAAATTAGAAACAGCGAAGACATGAAACAAACAGTAAAAAGGCTTATATAACGATAAGACTCACTTATCGCCAGAAGTTAATGGTTAATTATACACACTGCTTAAACAGATAGCGTAATAAGCGGGAATTAATAAAATGGCGGGAATCGCTTTGATGTGGGAGAAAGAAGAGGCAGTGATGGCGAGTAAAGAGGCAGACATTTGCGGAATCAAACAAGAGTGAAAATAGAGATTTGAGAGTCGGAGATAGAGTGTTGTTAAATAGGTTGAAAAGGCTATTCAAAATTCAACTTGTTATAAAAGTCTAGTAAACAAAATAAAAAAATATGTTTTATCTGAGAAGAAAGGTTAAGTGCCTTTCAATCTGTGGAAGTGTATTTTGTAACAACAATTTTCAAGAAACGAAATAAAATTCTAACTGTGCCAATTTTTCAGAACATGAGATTAGGGAATGCATGTATATATTTATGTTCAGGTCTGGAAAAAAGTGTTTGAAAAAGGTTACGTTGTGGTGGAGGCGAAAATTTTGAATCAGTTATTAAAAAAAGTGCATTCGGGAAGAAAAATTCATTTTAATACCGAGTGAAAAAGTCTTTGATCCGCCAATGCCGCCTCTCGTGCACTCGCCAGCTCCATCTAGTGTCGTCCCACTCAATGATGAGTACGTAAGAACGGTCACTCATTGCTAAATTATGACAAAATTGTTGAAATGATCCGAAAGTCTGTATTCCTCTCCCTTGTTTTAGTATCAGAGATCATTTTGCATGGTTAATCTTCCTGTTACAAAAATTAATGAAGAAAAAGATATTATACTTCTAGCACATTTAAGGAATTAAAACCCTGTTTTTGTTGTTTTTTTTCCTTCAATTTAATAGTTATTGCAAAACAAACACAAGCAAAATTAATCAAAACTGAAGAAAAATTGTACTGCAGTCAACGCTGAGTTAGGGGTACTCATGTATTCAAAATTGATAAACTTTTGTATTTGTTTTTCAAAGGGTGAATTGCAAAACAAACAAACGTCAGAACCAGGGTATAGAGGGAAATTAGCCCCCCCATTCCTTTTTTAAAAATAAACATTATACATGTATATGCATTGAAAAATGGGATTTACTTTGTTTTGTTGGTTTACCCCCCCCACCTTTCAATTTGCTTCCGACGCCCATGCTGAACAGTGAACAAATCATAAGAATAGTGAAAAGCATTATATTTATAACGTTTCTTTAAAGAGGAATTTGTCAAAAAGGGTAACAAAATGATCAGAGAGCCCACTAAAAAGTTAAATGAAAACGATGTAAATGTAGGTAAATGACACAAAAACATTCCTTCGCTATGCTAACAATTTTCTGGTTTGTCGAGAACCTGACTGTGAAATAGATGAGGAGTAATCTCCCAATCTTAGTCTATCTTTTATCGCCGGGGAACCTTCGACGCGTGCGTCATCAGAATCAGAAATAAAACACGCTGTGCTAATTCCGCGCTCAACGTACAGAAAATGCTTATCTCTATTTCTTTTAATTACTAGCTGAGAATTTAAAACATCTTTCGTTCCTCTTCCATTTGTAACCTCGTATCCTGGTTGTATCGTATAATAGAATCTGTCTGTTTTGTTTATGTATCGTGTAAACAGGGCAAATTAAGCTGTTGTTTTACGTTAACGAAGAAAGACGTCTTAGATTAGACTAATTCAATGTTTGCTTTTTTTGTTTACACGTCCCTATCATCTTTTGTTATTGTTATTTTTCATATGATAAATTTATAATTACAATAATAGTTAAATAAAGATTCATGATACTAACAAATTACATTAAAATCAATTCAAATTTTAATTTACTTACATCATGTGTATTATATTGTATAAATTTATTGCTTATTGATATAACTTTTAGAAATAATACAATATAATAATAATAATAATAAAATTCAAAAATACTAATTCAGTATAGCGTGCATGTAAAATCTAGTATATTCCCTGGCTGTAACAGGTGGTATATATAAGAATAAACAATTAATTGTTAAAGGAAAGAAATTAATTAGAGGGGGGAGTAGTAACAAAACCTTGTACATACCCCACTTCTCCACTTTTCATCTCTTAAAAAGGAAAAGTAAAATATCCACTTTTCACATCATTACGAAAATTATCCTTCAAGAAAAGGACATGCAGCCATGGTCAGCGACGGGAGAGCTCTAATAACAGACGGGGGTCACTAATCATATGCCCCTTATCAATGCCATAGACGATAGGTATTGAACAGACATGCAAAATGTAATAAAGCACCCCCGGTAAAATGCGCTCACGCGCCCTGCTAATAATATTGAGAATTGCAGGTAATTTACTCGACAGCGCAGCTCGTGTGTGCGGTGATGGGGAAATGATGGCTTACACACGGGAAGACAAAAAGGTATCCCAAGATGATGGAATTGTTTGCATGCTGATTATAACTGATGTTTTGCTAAAGTATTTCGGAGGAAATAATGTTAGAAACAAAACGAATTGGACCTGATTATAACTGTATCCGGACGTTTCATCGGAACAAAATTTTTAAATGTATTTTGTCTTGTTTAAGATTCAGAATCCGGATACATATGTGGACAAATTACTGGGAAAGCGTCCATAAACGTCCAATATTATGATGAAAAGCATATTGGAAGAAAACATACCGTAAGCATCAGTAACGGATCCAGAAATTTTGAAAAGGGGGGTGGGCCGACCAGTTTGAGGTCATGGTAGGGGCCTACAGCCACACCATAAAAACATTGAATCAAAATGTATTTTTTGACTCTCCTTTCCGCCAGTGAGAGAGAGAGAGAGAGAGAGAGAGAGAGAGAGGGAGAGAGAGAGAGAATCCACCATTCTGAAAACATTTTAATATAATTCATATTCCAACATCACCTGCGTCCATATGGTGTTTATTCTCCAAACTGATTCGCTAGGCTCATGCTTCGAGATATTTTTAAACTGAGGCAAGCAAATGTCAAATAAGTTGATGATTAGGTACTCCTTAAATTCTGAATATTGATATAATTTGTAAGAATTTATCAACCTAAACTGTTGGGTCTATTTTTGTCTGACTTCTGTAATATACGTGGTTTTGTCCCGTAAAATCGTGGACAAAGCGTTTTTCTCGAAAAGTAATGGGCGCACTAAGCTGAAAATTTCAGTAAATGTTTATTTATCATATTTAAGTGCATGATATTTTTTTTGAAAAAATATAGGCAAAAAAAATTTTATAAGGCTGAATGCACGGGGTATTGTACGGCGCACGGACAAAAAACCAAGATTTTATTTTACACAAGTTTGAATTCAAAATAAAATTGTTCGATACATAAGATTTGGATTAAAATTATCCTTATTTAAATCAACAATCAATTTTGTAATCTTTGTGAAATTTTTAAGTCATTTGGTTAATTTTTGGCAGTTTCTCGAGCATTCGAAATGGGAAAGTGGTAAACACAACACACGAAAAATGGCGACGTTTTATGACTTACGGCGCACTCGGAGAGCAGTTCCGTTATTTGATGTTGTAATACAGCTTTAGAGACTTGAAATGACCAAAGAAGAAAAAAGTTTATAAAAATATCACCATATCTTAAGTATACAAATGAAATAGGAGTTTTCTAAGCGAATTCTAATTTAATTTGACCATGTCCTCTTGTCTATAATACTAATAGTTCATAGTACAACAACATACGGACAAACTCCTAATATAATAGCAAAAGACGCTGTCACAGTAGACCGCCGAAATGAGATTTTCTATTGCAGTTGAATATGGTATATTGTCCGTAACATGACAAATCTTCAGAAATCGCAGAGGGTGCCATTGGTTCACTGTTTATAAAAAAAAATATCACTGTGACGGACTATATAACTTCAAATGTAAAACGTTACGGTGATGAATTTGAGTTATAATCCATGTCTATTAATTAACGTCAGACAAGGCATAAAATCAATAATTTGTCGTTATTTATGCATATATTTATGAATTTGCTGTGTAGCCTAAAATATGTACTGTGAAAACTTCAGAACGCAGTGATGTATATTTTTTAATTTTTTTCATTTTTTTAACAGGATTAGTTTGACAATGCTATATTTGATGATTTTTGTATTCATCTTTACTGGCGCTGCCGAAGCTTCCTCAAGTCCAAGTTTGAAATCATTCTGGGATGATTACAACAAAATTACGAAAAACGGTGCCAGGCATTGGGATTTGTCAAAGAAAAGTGCAACTGCAAGGAAAGGAAGGGTGAAATCAGAGGTAAATAAATAATAAGCATACTGTATACAGGGTTATTTTCGCCCTTTTCAACATGTGAACAATTTTGCCCCGTTTAAAATTCGCCCAGTCATAGTTCTGTTTAAGAAATTATGAATTCGCCCAATCAAGGATAGGGCGAAAAAGCCGAAAATAAAACGGGGGCGAAAATTTCCCTGTATACAGTATTTCATTCTTATTTAATTTGTAATAATTTGAGTTGTGGATAGTTAAGTTGGTAGAGCACCTGACTAAAATATCGATTCCCGATTCAAAATACATTTTCTCCTTTCCTGTTACAAAATCAGTAATCTTCATTTCGTCTGTCAGCATTTACTTTGTTTTTATGGGAACTCAAAAGCATGCTCTGTGTACGAGTATTTTTTACATCAGTGCAGGCTACTGATGCAGCGATTGATAAACTGATATCACAGAGATTACTAGTATATCATTAGCAGAATGTACCGTAAATAACGTTCACGGCGGACTTAATCGGTCAACAGGGGATGCTTACTCCTCATTGTCACCTGATCCCGCCTCTAGATATTCCGGGATCCTTGTTTAACGACCTGTTGATAGATATGTATTGTTCATCGACTTTTTTATACAGTGTTTTAGATCACTGGTCATTTTTTCCGCCTTTTCAAAAATAAATCATGTCAACTTATTAAAGGTAATATACTGTAACTGAAGAAAAATTCTAACCCGACAATCTAATGATTGTTTTCTTGTGCACTCAAAAATCTTTGCTCTATGATTCATTCTATGTTTAAAATATATTTTTATTGCTAAAAATGATCTAACTTTGCAGCTACAAGGATGGTGGCCTTTGATACAAGATTAAAGAACTTCGTCACTAATGCCAAGGTTGGAAGCAAAATTGTTTTTAATGATGTTCAGTTAAACATTGGAACAGGCTACGATGCATCCACAGGTATATTTACTGCGCCTTACTCGGGTGTGTACGTGTTTGAGTGGACTCTCATGACCGAGACGTCCAAAGAAGTGCTCACTGAATTAATGGTGAACGGGAAACCAAGGTCCTATAGCCATTGTCGCTCTGTAGCTGGGCCGACCAGTGATACCTGTAGCAAAATGGCAGTGGTGGAGCTCAAAGCCAAGCAACATGTCTGGATACAGGTATTCATTCGACCAGCATATGTTTAAAATGTGTATTCATCCTTCACTGGATTTATGCTTTGAAAAATAGAATTCCTGACTCCCCTGTATTCCATGACTTAAATTAATTATTCCTCTCAAATAAATTCACAACTAGAAGGGGTGGCAGATATATTGTAATGTTCAAACATATTTCTGCTAGAAGATGGTCTTGCAGATGACTTGGACAGAATTCAAAGGTTTGGGAACCGGTGAGGAGGGACACCCCCTCCCACCTTTTAGCAATGATGCATTGAATATTGGAGATTGCGGATCATAACTTCTATTCTTATTTAAACTTTTATTCTGATTTATACGATAACTGTCTAACGTGGATGACGTCATCACACAAAACATGCAACGTACATTTGTGCTTACGCTGAGAGAATTTCTTCCGGGGAATATGTGTTGGGTTTTAAATTTGAATAGAACATTAAGATAGATTCTCATAACAGCTAGTAATTTATAATACCAACATTTTACGTAATTCATGGTAAAGCGCAATGGCACTTGTTTCGTATCAGGGCACCCCTAAAATAAGTAGGGTCTGCCCTATAAACCGCACAAGTGCCTGTGGTGAAGCCTCTCTCTCTGTTATGGTTACCTTACATATAACAAAAAAAAAAAGATTCAATAAACAAACTTTAATGAAAATTTAAATATAAATGTGTATATATTGTTCATCATCAAGAGATGAGCTTTAGAGTTTTAAATTTGGAGGTGTCTTATCAGAATGCCCCTCTACCGACAGATCAACAGTTAACAGTAAAACGGATGAACCTGGTAAAACAAGAAAATTTAAAGAATTGTGGTCCCCCGCTTTCGGTGTCGTTGTGGATGTGTTACCACTATATATGCATATTGTGTCAAAAATGAATGCCCTATTATACGTCATTTTAAAGTACATGTCATCACGAAAGTTTAAATTTTTGAAAATTAGGTCAAACATGAAAAAAGTCAATGATTTAAGGACAGGTGATGCAAACAAACTTTTGTCAAAAAATTTGAACATAACAACTTGGGTCATGTTTAAATGAGTAAAATGAACAAGTTTAACTGCATTGTTTTTCATCATTCAATCAAATTTACACAGAAATGGAATCTGAAATGAAAAATATTTGCATAGATTAATAAGGATGCTTTCAAAAAGATAGACTTTTGAACATCACGGAAGGTTTACAATTTCTTTATATTCTGGAATTTTATCATTTGCAATGAAATTAGGTAAAAAAAATATATATACCAATCCAGGCATCCATTTTTTGTTTGTATTATCTGTCCTTAAAAATCATAGCATACACAGAAACATCTTGACATATCAAATGTGAAGGCATTATCTCTTCACAGTCAAAAATTATCAGGAAAGAACATTTTCAAAGAGTAGGTCAATCTTCAAGGTCAATGATACTGGGTCAAAATTTGTAGTATATTTAGAACTTTTCCTTGCTTATGTGAAAGCGGGGGACAATTAACAAGTTAGAATATAGCCAGCCATTTGTATCATTTCTTTAAGAATTCCATACATACAACTCTTTTATAAAGTGCATTATAGAATGTATACAATGGTCTCTTATTTTGCTAATGATATTTTATGTCCACAATTATTTCAAATACATGTACAAGTATACATGGCAAATGGTACATGTGAATTAAAGCATGTACAAGACAGAAAAATGCAAGAAAATTGAGGTAAAACAAATGCTACAGAAGTCTTTGACAATAACATTAACCTTTGTAAACAGATAATAAAGTCTTACTTATCAAACAGATGAACATCAATTAATCTGTGTGAATATAGTTTACTGAAAATGTACAAGAGTAGAGTGTTCACAGTCCACATAAAATTGTTCATTTTTAAGTACCTGTAGTACACCTGTATGAAGATTAGTCTATCCATGTACCATCAAGAGAATATCCTGATGATAAACAATTTGTTACATGCATTATCAAAATGTGCGATACCTTAAAAGTATTGGAAAAAACGAATGTATCTGTGGTTTCAACTCATACCTGAAGTAAACATATTGAAACTTAGAATAATCCAGCTATTCTTTCTATCAAAACTCTATGAGCACTCAACCAGGGACCTACTCAGTGTTTTTATGGAATAAACTTAAAAAAAAAGTCAGAAATTGTTTATGGAATAAACTTTAAAAAAAAAAGTCAGAAATTGTTCATTTTCTCTCATCATTGACAAAATGATTGGATACTATGCATCAATGAAGCAAATCCATTAATATTTTTTCTTTTCACATTTCAAGCATTTCCAGCATTCTTCATTTGCTTAAATTTAATCACAACCAATATATCGCAGAGACAAAACAAAAACAAAATACTGAACTAAGAGCACACATAATTCAAGGTTTAAAACGTCCAGAAAAAAAAGAATAGAACAAATATCAACTCCTGAGAAAATATTCTGCATATGAATAGTCTTTAGTAAAACAAGGTTACAAAACTTGCAGCTGTTTCTCACAAACAAATATACCAGTAATTTATTCTAAAACAACTGAAAGTACATGTATCAGCTTCACGTATTTCAAAACTTTCCTGTGAGAACCAGAATATAAAGATATTTACTCTGAGGGTATAGACATTTTTCTCAGTAAAATTTTCAGGAAATAGTCACTTCTTGTAGAGACAGGCAGGTTTTTTAATTCTAAGATAAATCTTCATAGCAGTCATGTTACTGTGTTTCTAATGTTGTTCTCAATACTTTGATAACTAAAGCATCAATTTCTTTTTTTGTTCCTGTTTCTAAACTAATACTAATTTCTAAAGCATACATGTAGCATATGTTAGTGTTTATTGCACATGACTCTGTTTATATATTAGATTAAATTTCAAATTTTAAATTTTCAAGGTATCTAATACAATTATGCATTACACTTTATAAAAGTGAGTTGTTTTTTTCTTGCTGTACAATTTTGAATAGTGAATCTCAAACATTGGTATTCCGTTTACAACAATACAAATCAAAATGAAGATAAATATGTAACAAAGTACCACATATTGCACAAAAACACAGCTATTATGAAATTGCATCAACAGTTCTGAATTGTAGATAAAATAAATATATATATTTCTAACAACAAAATATAATAACAATTTTGTTTAGGATCTTATATAACTTCAAATGCATGTAATAAACAATACTAATATACAATACCCTTTTCAAGTTATAAATTTAAGTTTACATGTAACATGTTAAAATATAGATAATTTAACAGTGCATATTTCCCACGGATTAAAGAGCTGGTTTGGCACATGTTCGTAAATTCAAAACACTAAAGCAAATCAGAACTATACAAAGGAAACAAGATTTATGTTTAAAGCAAGGGTTTGAAATTGAAAATACTTTCTCCAATTGCTCTGTACAATGAATATATACATCACTTTCATTAATTAATTCATTTTTTTTCAAAAGCTTCCTTATATATTTTCAATCAACAGTATTCTAAAATATTATACATATATACAAATTCTATATACAGTATACACAACTCTGGTACATATAAAAAATTCCTTTACATGATTATACATGTAATATCACTATTTATCCCTCTTGTCAACTAAATCACATAAAAAAAATATCTGCAATATATTAAAAAATATGTATTTTTCAGGTGGGCTACTCCAAGTATATTTTTGATTAACCAATTTTTGTGGCATTATACAACAGAATACATATTTTGTATAAAAAACTGCCACCAAACTTAGTCTTTCATGAAACTGAAAACAGACGTCTATGATGAAACTGATTTTTCTAATTTGCACATTATCAGTGGAAGAAAAATGTTGCACCATGACTTGTGCGCTAAACATTTATGATAACTATTAATCGTCAGAAGTATTCTGCACTTAAAATAATACATTTAAATAAGTGAACAATAAAAATTTGCTTATCTTTAATTCGATCTAAACTCTACCTAAAAGACATTCAAATGGAAACATGGAACTTTAAACATGCTTATAACTATTTGCAAGGAACTGGTTATTTGGCTTCCTTAAAAGCATAATTCTTTATATTCTTAAGCTCCAGAATATGCTTAAGACTGATGGGAAATGAAAATAACATCACCACAATTCATCATAAGTGTGTTTTACTGTAGATACTTTAGGATTCTGTCAAACAAAATCTCCTAACTATCATGACAACATAAACAAAATGTAATTGGTGTATAAAATCATGTCTTTCAACATTATCCATGTTGTATAACTTCACAAATCTTTAATCTAAAATTTCTTTCTCTCAAGCTGTGACAGTTGTCCCCCTCTAAACAAAGGAAAGTGGACTGGATGGCACTGAAAATCTCCTTGAAAGCCCTGCAGCAGCCTCTTATTTGTCAGTATCCTGCCTCTGTAGGCACTATACAATGGCAAGTGAAAAGTCACTAACATGTTTAAGTGTGGCCTGAGAATCACTAACATAGGAAGTGTTCACTAACAAACTAGGAATAACCAAGTCTAGAAAGAGCCATCTTCTTCCTCAATCTTGCAACTTCGTAAAAAGCATCCTTGTCTGAAACGAAAGAAATATCAGGAAAAATTTAACATACATTTACAGCTGAAATAAAATTTTGTTTCACAAAGAATTATTTATTGTGCAGTGCTACCAGACATATTCTAACAGAATAATTTGCTAGAATTATAAGCATATTTTTAGCATTTTTTTCTATTGATTTTATACTTTAGATCAAACTCACAGTTTCTAAAGGTGACTCAAAGGTTAAAAAAAAAAATAAATAAATAAATAATTGCTCAATGAAGCTTTTGCACAACATTATCAAATTTAAATCATAAAATACTGTAAAATCACATATTTCTGTGGGGTCAAATTTTCGTGGTTTGAGAAAAATCTCTTAGTTCGTGGGGATTTGATTTCGTTGATCAAGAATTAATGAGCACTTATGTATGTAACATTTTACATTTCATGGTGGACATGAATTCGTGGGTCTCACCATACCTCATTAAAGTGCCGCGCCACAGCGTGATACGCCCGTCAAAAAATTACAATTTTCTTGAACAGTTTAGAGATTTTAGAAAATCACACCAACTTATTCTAAGATTTCAATGATTTTTCCATTCCTTAAAATATTTATCCATCCCCTGTGATGTAGGCATTATAATTATAATAAATATTACATCACTGATAGATTTCTGTGCTGGTTGTGCACCTTGTCAAAAATCATCAAGGGTAGTCTTAACAATTTTAATCTATTACCAAATTAATTTTGAAAAGAAAAGGCTGGCCATCAAATGCACACATGTTATAAACTGACAGCAGTAAACGTTCTGTTTTCTAATCCCCAAAGGGTACAGATAAACTGCTTAATTGACGACAGACAGCTAACCTTCCTACATTGAACTCATTAATTAATCGCACTTTGGATGCTTCCTACAATTATATATGAGATGAGTGTGTCTGACACTATCTACTATAATTTTTTTTTAAAAATATATAAAATATATATTTTTTTTTTTGTTGAGATTTAATGTCCACAAGTTTTAGTATGTAATTCATATGGAAGGATTCCACCCCACCCAAAAATTAGTTTTTAAATTAATAATATTACATAATATCAGATTAGTTTTTGCAATATCAAATTAGTTTTAATTACTTTTCATCAAATACATTTTAAAACTTAAGTTAGTCAACAAGAGCTATTTTTAATCAAACAGGCTTACCCATTTGGCCAATACTCAAGGGATATAGAAACACCAATGCTCAGCAGTTTGCTCCTACTCAAAACCCATTAATTTCTCTCTAATTTGACATGTTATATTTTCTGTTATCAAAATTCTTCTTGACCAGTGCTTGATAATTACACTCATGGGATAGGCAGGATTTCTCTGAAATACATTATATTTGTTATAGATTGCTGTCAAGTATATGCTTAGAAAAAATAAGTATTTTCGTTGAGTAAGTGATTGATTTAACACTTTTTTAATAAGGACAATGCAATACTCTTACATTATTTGGGATGTGTAAATGAATAGTAAAAAGACACATTTTAAAAAAATATATCACTTAAATTAAAGGTCACAGTGACCTTGAAATAGGTCACAACACACCTTCTATTTAAGATGCATAAACTGGCCAAGTTTGATGATTGTAAGTCTTATAGTTTTCTAGTTATGGGCCGGAAAGGATTTTTCCATATTTGGCTATAACTTCTTATTAGGTCAGCGACCTACTTTTTGTGCGTACACACCTTGTTACCCAAGATGCATCAGATGACAAAGTTTGATAATCCTAGGCCTAGTAGTATTAAAGTTATGAGCCGGAAACGAAAAAGCTAACAGACAGACAGACGGACACGAAGCCTATAACATAATACGTCCCGTCTTAAGACGGGCGTATAAAAACAACGAAAATTAAACCCCAACGAAAATTTGTGATTTCACAGTACTGGATCAGTAAATGACCATAAAAGATAGCTAACCTTCACTCTTCACTAAACCTTGGTTAATGTATCGAATGTATGTATAGAAATCACAAACAGCAGCAATCTGGAATAATAATAAAATACATGTAATCCAGTTTCTGATATGTTATATATATTTTCTTGAAAAGCTTTAATTAATATGATGAATTATAGAAAAATAATTAGTTAACTATAAGTTACTTTAAAATGATTTAAACTTCAAAGGCATTAATAATTTCATAATGTGGCAAGATTGTATATTGCTTTCTTTTTTCTTCTACAAATACAGGTCAAAAATAACAAGCAACTGTAGTCATGTGTGCTCATACAGCTCCTTTCAGAGATTTATTTTTCAAAACTTTTAAATATCCTTGCATCTAATGACAAAGAATTTTTTTAAATATGAATGTGGCTTACCCTTTCCAACAGGGCTGGGATATACAATAACTTACCCTATTCCTACAGAGCTGAGATATACAATGACTTACCCTATTCCTACAGAGAAAGATATACAATGACTTACCCTATTCCTACAAAGCTGAGATATAGAATACCATTCGGAATCTTCTCCCAGCTTTATTTTGTAGTTACACAGTTTGTTGCTTTCTGTTAAGCGACACTTCCTAAGGAAAAGAAGAAAAGATTTAACCATAGGACTTCACAGGCTTTAAATTTATGTTAATATCAAAACTCTCTTTTTGAAGGAAAATTAACTCCCCTGTATTTTAGTGTCAATGAACAAAATTATTTAGTATTTTTCCCTAAAAAGTTATAAAAATATTTACTGTTAAGTCATAATATTCATTCTATAACTACTAGTATAACAATTTCCTAAAATGTTAAAATTTACATTATACACTTTCTTCCTTCGAAGTTTCAATAAAATTCAAACATTCAGATTTACAAGACTTATCAAAATATTAAAGATTCTTCACATTTATTTCATTTTTTCTTTTTACATTTCTTTATAAAATGTTTTTAAAAAGTTGAGGATAAATTTGATTAAGTTTTACTTGACATATTTCCTTTCTAGAGGGCCTTTTATTGTGATCAGTTGTACACAGTTTAAGACACCTGCTAAATATGAAACCTGCTAGGTATAAACATACCTTGGATAGGAACTATCGCCAGGAATGGGTTCTATTGTCAGACTATTACAGGCCACACAACTTTTCACTTTTTCTGCCAACTGCAAATGTAGAAATTATGTACTAAGCACACCCAATACTGTATAATAGAGAAAAAAAGTCTTGTTTCAAATCTGTAATAATTCTACATAATCATCTCTGCTGTACTTTACAGAAATAATTACAAATACTCGTCTGTACTTAAATTTGTATTTGTGGCAACTTCAGGCTGATTTCTAGAGTAAAACCTCTCTATACCTTTAGCTTCACTGTCTTATACTTACAGCTACATTAGAGAAGTTCAGGCAGGGGCCTATGTCTTCTACATACATCCGGTTCAGGAAGGCAGTAGATAACTCGAGGGAAGGTTTCTGCCTCCATTCCACAAACTCTTCATAAATTGTACTGTCAATCTGTCAATGTTAAAATCAGTCATATGAAAAATTTCATTGCATGTTAACATCACCAAGAATATAGATGATTTATAAATTTTATCAAGTGAATTTTCTTTAAACAACTATTTTATAGAGAAAAAAAAAATCAAAAAATAAGGGTTTTTTTAAAGAAAATTTAGAGTTTGAATAGAAAGATGTTTTGTAAATGATTATTCATGCTGTTTGTCTTTTGTGTTTAATGTCTTCACAGATATGACAAGTGAATATCCTGCATATACATGATTAATATGGACTGAGATAATAAAATGAAATTTTAATGATTTTATTTCAAAAATTGTACAACCACACCCTCATATAAATATTTGGTATGCAAGGTATATCAAATTTTGTAACTTTTTCCATTTATAATCCTGTATGTGTTGGAAAGCGTATTAATTTGTTGTTTAAAGGCAAGAAGAAAAATTAAGTGTTTCACTTTCTTTGGTTACAATTTTAAGCATGCATTATTATTATACAGCTAAATTTAACAGTATATTTTAGCCTTTACTAAATAGCCAGTTAAAAAGTAATTTAAGTGGTTGAGAAATTTACAGCCATTCAGAACAAATTTACTACAAAATATTTTACAAAATATGAATGGTAAGATTAAGTTTATATGTATATATATATTATATATATATATTTTAAAGCTGATAATCACGAAAACTTGAATGCAATTAAATCTTAATTTAATAGACATATTAATTTAATTTCAACTTCGTTTATACCAGAATAATTTTTAAAAAGAGAGAAGTTTGTTATAGATTAAGGAATAGATGGTTTTGAGTAGATAGGAATAAACTGTATATGTCCAGTTCCCATGTCTCGCATTCATATGAGATGAATGAAATAGATACTGATATTTACCATTTCGTCATCATTTTCTGTCTGAGAGATTGATGTAAGTTGTGGTGAATTAAAAATGAATGTGCTTGATTTTGCCTAGAGTCAAATATACATATCAGAACAAAAAAATTTTTTTTTCTTCAATTAGCAGCCTAGTTTCTAAACTATGTTAATATAACTTGTCTTTAAGTTAAGAGAGAGAGAGAGAGAGAGAGAGAGAGAGAGAGAGAGCCTTGGGCCATATATACCGCTCAACTGAGTCACTATGATGTTGCTTTTATTAAGCAATATGACTTTTTCAATAGGTATACATGTTTATATATAATGCTGATTTAGTTCTGATCCTACATCATGTGCATTATTGAAGAAATCTGGATCTAAATTTTCTAATTTTTTAGGAACTCCCCTTTGAAAGAGGCTATGATCCTCCTTTTTGAAAAAAAAAAACAAGAATTATACCATTCAATTAAGGAAGATCTGTGGCAGGTTTAGTTTACCATCCCAATGGCTCTTGAGAAGAAGTTAAAAATGTTTTAACATGTTAAAAAATATTACAAATGGACAGACACCAGCAAAAATAAGATCAGAAAAGACATAAAAAGCTCAGTTTAGATTTTAACTCAGGTGAGATAAAAACATACTGAAGTATTAACTAATGTCTTCAGTTTCTAAAAAGATATTTTTAGTTAAAAGTGAAATTGTCTACTTTAATTTTAAAAGTAACTTAAATCTAAACTAAGAATTAACTAAAATCAAATATGACAAAGTTATAAATAACTTTTAAGACAGTCCCTGACCTCTTTACAGCGGTCAGCCTTGGCTTCCTGTTGGGCCTCTACTTCCTGTCTGGCCTCCTTGGTAAACTCGTGGTGACTGGTGGAGCGTCGGTGAGTCTTCCAGAACGGCTTGCTGGACTTGGGCTTCTCCTTCTCCGCCGCCATTGTAGTGGCTATCTGGGGGTGGAGGTGTTTGTTGGGGGAGGCTGGGGTGGAGGTCAGGACCAGCTGTTTCAAGGCCACGACCTCAGCCTGAAGGACCTCAATCTGTCACAGATAATTAATGTTACTTTTGTTATATTCCACAGTGTGAAAGGATAACATGTTGGTTATTTCATCTTTTTTTTATCATCTCTTGACTGTCACAATAAAATATAACATTATGCATATATCACATGGCTTTGAGGGTGACATACCAGAATATTTGCCCTTAGGTGACAGGAAAGCCCTGGAGTGTTATGTCACCCTCTGTCTTCGGCATCGGGTGACATAACACTCCAGGGCTTTCCTGTCACATCAGGGCAAATATTCTGGTATAGTCACCCGAGAAGCCATGTGGTATATGTTATATGACATTTTTGAAACTAGAAAACTGACCAGTCAGCAAGGGCCCCGCCATGGGGTAGAATTAAAAGGGTGCAGCTTACAGAATGATTAATAAATGTACAAAGAATAAGCAACAGTAACTGTATTCTTAAAATTTCAAGATGATTCCTGAATATTCAAAAACCTGAAAATAATATCCTTGTATTTACATTATGCAGTAAAGGACAACTTAACATTGAATGTATATTTAAACAATTATGAAGCTTGTGTTATATAAAATGCCAGCTTTCTCAATCAATGAATGCAAATATCATGAAGGCTTGACCTTAACTTCAAACAAACAGCAGTTGCAGACAAAGGTTTTCATTTATCTTAAAGTGACAGATAAAGAAAAGCCTACTAAATTTTCTGCAGCAGGCTAGATAATTAATCCCAAGGGATTAATTGTACCTCTCTCTTCATTTTCTTGTAAATTAACAAGAACTTTTCAGTATCAATGATAGAATGGGGTTTTTATACAACTACATTAAAAATTAGTAATATTCTTGAATTAATATATAAAAAAAAAGTGAAAAAAGTGAAAAAAAAAAGTAAATCAAAAACTCTTCTTTAATCTATTTTTTTTTAAGAATTCAATGAAATCATTACTATTAAACAAAAATAAATAATAAAAATTTATATTTAAATCCACATTTCAGAGTGTTCATAGCATTCCAAATTGCTTTAACTTCAAAACAAACTTCATTTGCAGACAGAGGTGGTAATTAATCTCAGTGTGACAGATAAAGATAATGCTCTGGATTTTCTTCAGGAGAAAAGCTACTTAATCCCAAGGGACTCCTAGCAGCATTCAGTGTACAATGGGAACATCTTCAGCAGTTATCTCTCTTTGCCAATGCATTCTTATATAAAGTTAAGGAATCTTTCCCACCACCCCAGCTCTAAACAATGGGACATAGAGAACCAAACTTAGCATCAAAATATGTATTTTGCCTACTGAACTACCGTACCAAATTTGTACTTGATTGGGCAACCATAAATTTTTGCCTGTTCATTCTTATGCATAGTTAAGGAATCTACCCCACCACCCCAGCTCCAAACCAGAAAACATAGAGAACCAAACTTAGCATCAAAATATGTATTTCTGCCTACTGAACTACCATACCAAATTTGAACTTGATTAGGCTACCATAAAAAAAGTTATTAGAAAAAAACAGAAAATTTGTGGACGGAGAGAGAGAGAGAGACAGCAGAGAGAGAGACGGACGGACAGAGTGATTACTATAGGGCACCCGCAAATCCTTGCGGGGCCCTAATTAAAAGAAAATTTAAAATCATTCAAAATTGTTAAAATGTACACAAATAATCCAAAAATGCATGTTTGATGTTAAGAAATAGACTGTGTTGTTTATTTTTGCTTAGCAACCGACGTCATAAAATCTCGAACCCGAACTAAAATTAGTAACGTAAAAACATGTGAATGTGATCGAAAGGATGACATAACTGTTTCCGTCGGAGGTGACGTAACTGTTTCAGGTGTGACTCAGCATTTTTCAGGGTTTATAGCGAAACTTATTACATTTGTGATATAATAAGAAAACTTATTCAAAAATGTTGTATAAAAGTATATCATTGCACGCCTATAAACATTAATCATTTGAAGCTCAGCCTCTATATGTAGTTGCTTGAATCATACATTAGCAAGTGCTAGATAAACCAAATACTTGTAAAGTGCTATTTAGCAGACAATAAGTAGTGTCACTGTTTATTAATTAAAATAGCATTTTATAACAAAGTTGGTTTTTACATAACATCTTGTACAAAGAGAAGGTAATTTTCAACACACAGGTGTGATATGCTGTGATTATACCTGTTGATGAGCTTCCCTCAGCAGTTTCTCGGAGTGCATCCTCTTAACATTAGCGTCCTGTACCATGTTGTTGGCTTCCTGTAAAACATCAAATAAAATTCAATTTCTTTTTCTTCTCATAACCTAGAAAAGGGTTATATATCAACAAAAACACACACAACATCCCTTAACTTAACAGATAAGAAAAGTTGTATTGCCCTCATGTCATAAAGAAAAAAAAATATTGCCCTGATAGTATCAGATAAGTTAAGATATATTGCCCCCAAGACATATACAGATACATAATGACATATTGCCCTGACAGTAACAGATAAGTTAAGATATATTGCCCCCATGACATATACAGATACGTAATGACATATTGCCCTGACAGAAACAGATAAGTTATGATATATTGACCCCATGACATATACAGATACGTAATGACATATTGCCCTGATAGTAACAGATAAGTTAACCCTTTGAACACTGTAGACCGATACATCGGTCTGATAAAATTTTGTCTTGGAACACGGTAGACCGATACATCGGTCTCAGACACTAAACTGAAAGTCAAACGTTTATTGGTAGAAATAGAAAGTGTTCTCTGCGCAAAATCTTTCGCTATGAATTATGGGTAGAATGATGTAAACATCCGTTAACAAAAATGGCGGCCCACATGGCGAAAACTACGAAAAAATAAGGAAAATTAGATGATTAGTAAAGAAAACGAAGAAGAAAGCAAAATGGCGGTAAACGACGAAATGTCCGTGAAGATTTGTTTCTGGCGATGAAAGATTTAATAAAATGAGGGAATCTGACAATAAATGTTTCTAGACAACAAATACATGAGTTATTAACAATGTTGTGAAATTTTGTAGAGAAAGATGACTTGGAATCGGAAATCAAGGCTCCTAGAACAGAGGATGTTTTCCACGCGCCAGACTGTATATCATTGTTCTGAAACACCCCATTTTATTTATTGATAATTATGGACTTGCTTTTTGATAAATTCTGACATATTGCATATCATTTTACTCGGAAATAATTTCTCTTTTAAACGATTGTAAGAACATAATTGATTTTGAAACTTCATAGCAGCAAATTTATTAAATTATTGCAAAGATCCGTTCTAAAATGTAATTATGAATTTTATAGTGTTTTTGACTTGATAAATAATTTTGTATATATATAAAATTTATATCATTTAAAAGAGAATGTCTCATTTCCTACACACATTTATTAAAATATTCAAAGAAATAAAGAAGTTATATACCTTTTTGTGACGGAAGGTGAAATGTTTAGTGATGCCCCAAGTTACTCACACCAGGGGTTGGTTGATAAAAGTTACTCAGTGTTGAAAGAGTTAAGATATACTGACCCCATGACATACAGACATATCATGACATATTGCCCTTCCTGTAAAATAATTAAATATATTGCCCCCATTTCATATACAGATACGTAATGACTTATTGCCCTGATTAACAGATAAGTTAAGATATATATAGCCATGACATACAGACACACAAACATATTGCCCTGACAGTAACAGATAAGTTAAGATATATTGCCCCCATGACATATACAGATACGTAATGACATATTGCCCTGATAGTAACAGATAAGTTAAGATATACTGACCCCATGACATACAGACATATCATGACATATTGCCCTGACAGTAACAGATAAGTTAAGATATATTGCCCGGTGACATACAGACATATCATGACATATTGCTGTGACAGTAACAGATAAGTTAAGATATATTGCCCTCATGACATACAGACAGATCATGATATATATTGCCCTGACCTCAAACAGACTGGCTGTGAGTTCCTCTAGCTCTTCCCCCATCTGATCCCTGACCTTCAGTAACTTCTCACACTCCTCATCCTTCAGCTTCAGCTCCTGTAACATACAATATAGAAACTGACAGGTGTTAACATACAACATAGAAATTGAGATGTTATCATCAGCTCCTGTAACATACATCATAGAAACTCAGGAGTCATACAACATAGAAACTGACAGGTGTTAAGCTCAACTCCTACAAAATACAACATAGAAATTTGATTTTACTTTCTCTTTTTAAAGTATGTGGTAGTGTCAGATACACAGCTTCCTACTAACTGGACTAGAGGGTTAACCCTTAAGCTAAATTGGTAGAGCACTGGACTGGCAAGCCAGAGGTTCTGGGTTTAATTCCCATCAGAGGCATAAAATTGTCTCTGTTACAAATAAGCTATGCTAAAAAATATTTGTGATAATTAACTTCATTAATTTTATTTGGATTTTATCATTGAAGAACAAAGAGCAAATAAAATTAGAACCTGTAATCCTACAAAACATTAATAATGATAGCTCTCATGAATGATTTTTTTATTACATAGTGACTCACTTTAACCAGGAACAAGCTGTCAACCGAGATTCTGAATTTTGATTTTAAAATCAAATGTTACCTGGTCCACTGGTAGTGGAATGTGTCATTTGTATATAAGCCTATATTACTTCCTCTATAATATATATAAAATACTTCCATGTTGATGTTTATATAAAGAAGGAACTTGCAACTGAAATCCTTATAAAAAAGATTAGATGGCAACACAAGACAAATAAGGAAATCAGAACCAGTGGGAGAGAATGTGAGATAGATCTCTTTATTCAAATTGTGGGAACTTTTGGTAACAAGGAAAACAGAATGTTTCTGTCTAAAGTAAAATTTCAAAAATGCATTAAGACTAATCAAATGAAAAAGAAAGCGACACAAGATAAATAAATTTTTTAACAGTGGGAGAGACTGTGAGATAGATCTCTTTATTTAAATTGAACTAACAAGGAAAAGAGAATGTTTCTGTGTTCAAAAATGATGGAAAGCACCTAATTTTTTGGCTGCACTGTGAGTCAAATTGACTGAAAAATACACAGATGCCATGCAGAGCAAGAGACAATTATACATGTATATATGATTAAAATATGTACTCCACATTGATTAAATTCAGACACAGAGCATACGTCATCATGGTCATTCATAGAGCTGGTTCTTCTTCTTGTTGTTTGTTTATTTTTTGCTGAATCATCAAATACTCTGTACACACTTAGTACACTTTATGAGTTAGTCATAAAATATAATGATGATGAAAAAATATCTATAAACATTCGAACAATGAATTTATGTCTAGAATCTGCTTGCCATCAAACACTCTTTAACTACTTAAGACACTGAATTCATGTCCAATAATATTTAATCATTTCTGCTGATCCACACCATTTAACCACTTGATACACTGCAATCATCTCCAATAGTATGAATGAGGAAATGCGGTTTTCTCACAGGATATAGACCATTCAGATCATTAAGTACATAAATTACTGCTGCAATCCTGCTGTGTATCAAATGTCATGGTTTCTATTGTATTCTGGCCAACAAAATATATATCTGAATCATTTTCCACAGTTCTGAAGCATATCATATTTTTGTACTCTGGGTTCTACTTTGACCCTCTTACTGACTACGTACCCAAGATAGATTATGATCTTCAAAATATTACTTGTAAATTATCAAAATCTCAGAAATTGTGTCTTTTGAATATCGTACTTCATAATTAAGGGCTGGGGTCTAAGATTGTTATTACAGGGTATAACTGAATATAACCTTAATACATGATGTTTAATTTCCAGACAGCTGAAAAGTCAATTCAACTGAGACTTTTTTTACCTCCTGAGCCTTAGAGAGTTCCTCCTGAAGCCTGCCATAGGCATGCTCCTTGACGTGAGCCATTGTCTGGCTGCGTTTGCGGAGTCGCACTTCATTGGGCAGGACCTCGGACATGGCATGTCGTAGTTCACCCCGCTGTCGCCCGCTGTGTCGTAACTCTACAGACGATGTGTCAATGTCTCCCTCTTCTGGTCTGAAGGGTAAAAAATAAACAATATAAAATCTACATTGAAACTTATGTAATTCTATACACAATATGGAAAACAACTCTTTTCACTGGTAGAGCTTGAGCTGTGGTTAAATTGAATTTTGCTGAAACCCTAGTGTTATGGGTTATTGTATATTTTTTTTCTTCGGTTTAATTACACAATGTTACAATCTTTCGAATTTCAGAACTTTTAAACTTCTGTCATCTCAATATTTCTTTCCAATTTACTGTTTTGCAGTTATCCAAAGTAAAAGAAGGAACTGAAGGTTAGGAAATCTGTGTATTTAATTAACAGATATGTTTTAATTAATGATGACGTATTTTTAATGTGATTATAAAATGTAGAATGATGCAAATTCACTTATTGTTATAGTATTTTTATATGATCTGATTATACACTAGCAATTACGTTCGTCTTATAATTACAAGAATGAGCTTAATTATTATGATCATGATGTTTAGGCTTAAAAGACCACATTCAATAAAATGAAACACATATTACTATAAAGTATTACTAATTTTAAAAGCTGAAAAAGAAGGTTGAAAAAGTCATGCAGCTATTTATGTTTTTATACAATGTATTATGACAACATGAACATGATGAATAAAGTGAATTAAAGAACAAACAGTTTATATTCTATGAGAAATAAATTAAGTTAAAAAGACTTTAAAAATTAATGTACATGTAACAATTTAAGTGATGAATTTTATTTTATATCATTATACCAGAATTTAATACCAGAAGCAAAATGTGGGACAATGTGCAAGGACTCCAAAAGTTTGCTTTAACCATAAAACACAGATTTTCCAATGTTTATACTTATATAGTTACAAGAATTCATTTTCTCAATGAATGCAGAATCAAGTACAACTGATAATAACTGTACTAAATATGCATCTAAGTCTGTATATCAAATTGCTTATAATCACTTACAAAAGATACATATACATACAAATCAGCTGGTACAAAGTACAGGCACATCCATTTAAATATTATGATTTAGTTCCCATAAAGACCAAATGGACTGTTTTTTAAAGTTAAAATCCACACACTGTGCCATATACCACCCCCAATACATATTAATTCCCATGATTCCTACATCTCGTGCCATGTCACTACCAGGCGATATAACTGTATAAATCATTAACTGCCCCCCTAAGTAGGGCTTCCAAATCTCATAGACCCACTTATGAATTCTCAAGTATCCACTTCAGCTTCTATTTAACCCCATGATAGGACATTCTCTCTGTAGAGTCAGTGTTTTTTTCCCATATATTGATGTTTTAGTAATGAACTGATGCTTTAGATCACACCATATTTAAGATATAGTACTGCTACCTTTTGTACATGTCATTTTAGATTGATGAAGTGTAAACTTTCACAGTACAGTTGTCATGAAATAATTTCAATTTTTTTTTAAAGATGTACTACCATTATTTTAAGAGACATTTGCATTAATCAAAAGATTATTTCTTCCTTGTGACAAAAATTCTTTTTATTACAGCTGTTTATCAAAGAAAATAAGAAAAAAATGTTTGAAAAAACTTTAATATATTACATATTTGTATGTATATCTATTCCTTCCCCTGGGCCATGCAAATTCTACTTCAAGGAGCATTTAAAATTTGAAATTTCATTACGCAGAAAACCTTCACATATATCCCATTTAAATCATCACAAAACTCACCTGAGTCTAAAAACAAACATATCCTCAAGTCTCAAGCCATTTGTAGGCAAAATTAACTGATCACTTATACACAAATTACCGGTGCTAGCCATTTCTACAGCTCTCACACTTTCACACCCTGCCTTTATGTTCAGGAAAATAAAATTTTACAGATAGATTCCCAGTTTTGCTGTGTAGATAAAGGAGGATTTATTTCCATGTTTTTCTATTTAGGACACGGTCACAACACAACCTGTACACTAACGTAATACAATAGTTAGCCGGCACGCAGTATACAGGCTACATAATCCACTTCCTCATAGACGGCCTTACTATATTCCAACACTTGTCACCCTAATCCTTCTGTATCTACATTAAATGAGAGTGTGTTTATATGTATCTAACATTGTGAAATACTTGTTGTAATTGTGTATAAATTGAGGGGTACATACTTAAGTTCGTTTCATTAGTCACAGTAATGACTTGCATCATGCAACTTTAAGCTATAAATGATCATATTACATGTACTTATATTCTTATAGAAGTTTTTTTGGTGAAGTTACAAACAAGATGCCTTTGTAGTAAACAGAATTGTGAAACAATGTGAGTGCTACCAATTAACTCTTGTCATTTGAAGGCCAAGTTTGAAGTCTTCCAAAAGTGGGACAATCAGAATCTCAATAAAAGTCATGTCAAAATCAAAAGTTGCTACCCAAAAAGGTCACAAACCAAGGTAAATTTCAGAAATGTCAACTGAAAGGTCAAGGTCAAATTGAAAACAGTGTGCATGTTCTTAATCAAATGACTCTCAGGTGCTCAAGGTTAAATTAGACTCAATATCTAAAAATTCATATTAATTTACCGGTATATCAAGAAAACAAAAATTACTGTAACGGTAAATATCTGAATCTATCTAATTATCAAAATAATATATATCAACTAGACAATTGCTAGATGACCACCCATTTAGAACAGAACAACTCTTAACTACATTCTGGACTTACATAATAGTACATGTGCAACCAAATTCTCTGATTAAGACTAAAAGGAAGTTAAAATTCTTAGAAATAGAGAAATAAAATGATTTTTTAATTTAATTCCTAATAAGAGAAAGAAGTAAAAAAAATTCAAAAAAATCAAAAAATATTTTTTAATTTCTTTGGCAAATTTCCCTATCCATGTTTGTTATAAAACCAAGGAAACTAAAAATTTCTAATAATTCCCACATGAAAAAAGTATACATGTTTATGTAAGTGACAGATAGCATGCACCATTACATAAATGTCAATAAAGATCCTTACCCCATCTAGTACAAAAAGTGATTGATGGAGCACATTGTTTTTGTTTTTTCAGACATAAAGTGCACAATAAACCATATATTCCTAGTCAGTGTGGTAAGTGTATAACATTCCACAGAGAGATAAAAGCCTTGGTTTGTTAGCCTTGTTAAGGACCTTGTTAAAGCCTGTCAAAGAGGACAGATTTTATTAGGGAATTGATTATAGGTTTATTGCTCCTCCAATACTGGAGAGTTCTTGTCTCCCATGTTAAAGATCTCTGTAATTACAGGGGACTAAAATGTGGTAGCAGTGCATCTCTAACGGTCAACCATAATAATTGGTTTTTAAGCCTCTGAATCTGCAGCCCTCCTTCTAATGTTTGATTGTTGTCAGATTAAGCATGGATATTAGAGTCAGAGAAGTATAATTTGACAGAAGGCAAAATTGTTAGAAAACAATTGTATTCAAGCCTTTCTGCTCTTATCTGTCATTTTAACAATAAAAGTACTAATTATCAAAGTGCCATACTCCTTCTATGACTTGTCATAAACTTAATTTGAATTTAAAATTATCATGAAATCTGTTTGACATATAATGATTATAAAGCATGCTAGATGCAAATCAAATAAGTGCAATATTTCTCTGTGTTCTGACCCTTTTATGAAATTCATGTTAAAGTAAAAATCCCTGCCTTTATAAAAGTTAAACAATGAAAAATATTTCTACTTTATTAAAAATCCTTTATAAATGTATAGTCATTAGTGAAAATTTCCAAACTAAACTGTAATGCTATTTCCCCCCCCCCCCCCACAATATCTTGAAAATGCAATTTTTCATAAAACATTTCCCATCATGAAATAATGAAACCTTAAATTAGTCTCCTAAATGAAATTAAATCAAGCATGAAAAAACCATGACACATTATACATGTTACATAAAATAATCTACATGCAAGAATAATTTTTATTTTACTCTGTGACACTTCAATATTTTCAATGATAAATAATGATCTGATAAATTTTCAAGTCAAAGAATAACTTACATAACGTAAACCATAGCTATCATTATTACAGTGTTCTAAACATTCCACCAAAAAAATCACAAATACACACTCCGATGACAAAACAACAAAAGCACTTCCCCATTACATCTACTGATTGTTTGTACCATCCCCAGGGGATCACCAATACACATCTTACATTTTATATGCTGATACTAAAAATAGCCCCTACAGGTGTTTTGTTTACCTATTACGAGACAGAGCTATCGCTAAGACTAACAGGTTAAAGTGATAGTTGTGTACGATGCAGGTGACACAACGTGTATTAACCAGTGACAAGTAAGATAACTTAACAGAAAGGGAGATAATTTGTACCCAAAAGGGGAGATAATTGGAATCATGAGCATAAATGTTTAATGGTATGAAGATATGCCTGGTATACATGTAGATTATGATCTACTTGGCAATGCAGCCATAGCCATTTACATGATAGAACCATTACATGTACATGCATATTATTCAGAATGTTTTAAAAGAAATATATAAATAAATCATAAGTTTGTGTGAAAGTATTTTTCATTACTTTGAAAGAATCCAATTACATAAAGGGACTTCAGCATTGTTTGCTGTAATTTGTAGTGGAGATCAAGTCAAAGCCAGTTACACTTTCAACTAATTTTCTTACTTTTGACTTCATATCTTTAAATTGTATTTTTAATTATAATTAATAACTGATGTTTACCATTTCACTAAGCTTTTTTTTTAGTGAGTGATTTGCAAATTGTATATCAAACAGAAAAGAGACCAAAAAAAAAAAAAGATATTTCATAAATGCATGTACAATGTATGAGCATGCAGATGAATTATTGAGCTGACAAATGTATTTGTAATCATGAAAATTAATAAATTGAAAAACAATTTTTGCTTATCAAAAGTATTGTAATACATAAACATGATAAAATGCTGCTTGTGCAAAATGAGTGAGTCTCTAAGCCTCCAGCTGAATGGTTGCAGAACTACACATGTCTGGACAAAGGGCATCAGTTACATTCATCACCACAAACCCAATACAACATTTCATTGATAGCAGTATTTTGTTCTATTATGTGAAACTCATATTTAAGCTTGGAAATATTTTTTGTGGTATAATTTGATATAAGATCACTTTTAAATAGCAAATATGTTCCTCATTTTTAAAATTAGTTTGAAAATATTCTATTGCCTTTGAATTTCAAAATTCAATTGATTGATGGATTGATCAAAAGTTCAGCACATAACCCTTTCCAAAAATCCTCCCCTTACAACACTTTCAAGATGTTGGACAATATTCTATTTAGCTCTGAAGAATGTAGTACACAAATTTAAACAAATGCCCTCGTCAAGTGCAGACTTACTCAAAGAAGCTGACACCCCTCATCACCCTGTATATAGAGAGGTCTGGTTTGCTACAAGGAAACAGTGAAATGCATGCAAAACGTAACAAAAACAACATGACCCAAACTGTTATTCTGCAGAAGGAGAAGATTTAGTCTTGTTCTATTAACACTAAAAGTTAACTTAACAGGTCATTAAGCCAAAAAAAATTATCTTTGTTTCCTGTAAAAACTGAATAATCAATTTGGGTAACCCATTATTATATTAAGCAAAATTTGATGTTTTGGGAAAAATCCACTTTCAGTCCCGAAAAATTATTATTCAATAATCCCAATTTTATTCAGTAAATTAAAGAATCAATATTCATATATTTCTGTTTAAATTTTAGCATCAATATTCATTTCTCTCTTGCTTAGAAATTTCCACTATTTTTACCTTTAAAAATATTTACGCAATAAAATTTAATGACAATGCATTTCAATCACCAATTCACCATCAAATTTCACTTGACTCAAAATGTTTATGCAAACCCATTTTTAGTTAATTTAAAAGAATTCAACATCATACCCCCCAACCAGTTTTGTTTCCTTTGTTCCTCCTCCCATAAATTGATACTTTCAATCAATGTTAAATCCTCTCAAACACTGATACACTTTCAATTAATTATATTTTACAATAGTTTTTTTTGGAGGTTAATAACCATTTACACAAAAAATTATATTTCATTCTAGTTGGTCACCACAATGGTAAATTAGGGCACATGTTAGAGAGGACAAGACAAAGAAATCAAGAATGTTTTGTTTTGTATAAAAATTAAGGCTTAGATTTCTAGGAGAGAAAAGAAGTTAAACTATAGATCTTAAACAAAATTATACTTATATTATCAATCAATGGCACTTTTATATGTTTACAGGAAACAAAGATAACTGTAACATATACTATTGTTTTGCCCCAACACTTGCTACATGAACAAAATTGAAAGAGTTAGTATTCTAGTAATGTCTAAAGTTATTTAAGGAATGAAGCAATTTCAACTTATGTTATACGATATCATGGTGGGGAGATTGGTTTATAAACCGCGAAGCGGTTTATAAAAAAGAAACACACTCCTTATCTCCTGGGGAGGGGTTTTGTTATATCGTATATTCATATTGTTGAAATTAGCTTCATTCCTTATAATTTAATTTCAATATAGACAATTAGACAATTTTTCCTCAAGAATAAGGCATCAAATTGAGCATTATTTTAAAAGTAACGTCAAGCGGAGTAATACGTTTTTGACGTAACTCATTGTGACGTAGGCAAGTTATGTTATCCAAAATATTATATGTTCCTCAGCCAATGAAATAGCTTGATACAAGTAAAATTAAATTATTACATGTTAAGTACTACATTTATAATCCTGCATCACATATATTGTCTTTTATAAAAAGCCAAAAACTAGATTTTACAATTATCTCGCATAACAATTCAGGGGCTTTTCCTGGGGTCTTCATAATTTGGGATATAATCAATTTTTTTAAGAAAGAAAATCAAGTTCATTTTAATTAAAACTTGTCAATATTAAAGTTTGGAATTCTGGTCTTCCTTACCAACTAAAATTTCTGGGAAGTGAGCATCAAATCTATTTATTACATATTCAGATACATATAGTATACAGATGTATTCTTTAATGGTAGCTCAAGACAACTGAGAGCACTGAAATATTCAGCTGTAGAAAAAGTCCTTTTTTCAGAATTGGGACTCTAAATAAACCCAACTATGGACATTATTAAGTCATTCTGGATACTTTATAGAACTTTCTAAAGCTTTTTCTGACTGCACAAATTTTAAAGTTAGAAAAAAAAACTTCTACCTATTAGAGTACACATGATTGAATATATATATTTGGGAATTGCAAATGTCACGGATATGTGTATCGCTTTCAAATATTTTTCTTACCGATTAGAGTCTGTGGCAGTATCTGTTCCTGCATCCTTAGTGGACTCTTCCCCATTGCTTTCTGTTGCTATGGAAACATTTTTCTGCCGTTTCACAACCTTGTTTTCTGATGATTCCACAACCTTTGAACTAATGCCCTGTGACCTTTTAACCTCTGATGATTCCACAACCTTTGAACTAATGCCCTGTGACCTTGTACCCTCATCCACAACCTTGGAATTAATGCCCTGTGATATTTTCCGCTCGTCCCCAGTTTTAGAATTGTTTGTGCTGATAGCTGGCTGTTTTTCTTGTGTTTTTGGATTGGTTCTCTGACCCCCGTTTGAAGTGAGAGCCAATGGTTTATCATTTGATTTCAGCTGAACTGTCCCAGGAGGTGATGTACTCTGTATGAGGGGGGTTAAGTCTTTGTGGGGGATCTTAGGGGACCTCTGAGGGGACTCATACTGAATTTTCTGTAATAGTGGTGGGGAGATGGGGTGGTGGGGTAAAATAGGGGACCCAGAAATCGGGGAGGGGACCGCCTCAGGAGAGGGGGATGAGACAAAGAATACACACTCCTTATCTCCTGGGGAGGGGGTCTGTTTGATGGGGAGGCTATTGTTATTCATATTGTGGTCCAGCACTGGAGGTTTGTCAGGGGCTCCAGCAGGGAAATATCCTGCCATGTCTCTATACAGCGGTCCTCCAAACTTCTGTTAAATGTTTGGAGTCACTCCACATTATTGACTTCCTGAGACAACTAGGCTCCCGAGACACTTGAACTGTAAAATCATAAAAAATGTCTTAATAGTTTGGAATTCTTTACTTCATTTATTATTGACACAGCTGAAACATTCATTACTACTTTATATTTTCCGAGTATCCAAAATCTATCACCATTAGCAGTAAATCCAAGATTCCTCTGACTCTATAACCATGATAATTACCCTAAAAAGAATGTTCTATCGTTAAAATGATAATGTCCTACAGACCCGGTTTAACGATAGAATGCGTTCTGTGTATTCGTAATGTAGCAAAAGAAACATGGGAGATAACTTGTACTCCATATATTTACTATTAGCAATCTAGAGAGTTCTGAATATAAACATGGCGAGAGAAAAACGTTGAGAAAATTAATTGAATTTTTGTCTTTATATGGATTAATTTTGGGATAAATGGCATATGCAATCTCAAAAAGGTTTGTTTTGATTAATTTGGTTGTTATTTCCAGTGCAACTCCTTTTATATTCTTCAAAATCATTTCGGAGCGGATCCGCTCCGATTTGCTACAAATTGTGAGTATATGGGGCGTATTCTAACTGTGCTGAGGGCTTGTACCGATACACAGTTAGATCATTCTAACTATGATAAACCCTGCTTTTTACATTATGACATGTACAGGACAAAAAGCAGGGGTTAGAATCCAGGAATCTCAGATTACATTAGAAGAAAAACACTAGGCCTTAACACTCCAAATTATTTTTTACATTGGTTTTTGGTTGGAACATATAATAATGAATTGAAACATTGTTTTAAAATGATATTAATAGTACTGGGCTTATACAACACCATTTGATAAAATGTGCATCACACCCACAAACATTATTATACAACACCATTTGATAAAATGTGGCCGCCATCACACCCACAAATATAAACATAGAAATATACGTTATGGAATAAACGTAATGAAATAAAGGAGGCTCTAACAAATGTATAATTGTGAAAAACAATGCTTCCCAGCCCACAATAGCCATAAAAAGTTAAAGTTGGTTGAATTATGAAGGAATATGAGCATGTTCGTGTACAGTATTTGGGAATAGGGACTAAAAGTTATCACACACACCACAGAGCAAAGTTCTATTTTATACATGCAAGGGAGATTGAATTATCTGAAGATGAAAAAAATTCCAGGCTTATATCGTTCTCCATGGCCAAACTAAAAGATAACAAATTCGCTGCTACATCCTCAAAGTACTGCTGTGGTTCTGTTATTCTTAAAACTGCCAGCTGACGCAGTTTCATTGTTTATATAGTGTTTACCCCCTTCTTGCCATTTAGCTCTGTTTTGCATATTGATAAATTTAATTATTAGCTTACAAAACCTTCTTATGTAAAATATAAAACCATTACCAAGCCATCATTGCAGGAAAACAATGTTTTTGTCTTGTATAATCTCTCAAACCTAGCTGGCCATTTTTTTAGTCGCGTTTGATTATACTATTATGAAACCAGCAACAACAAACCAAATAAATGTAAAAATATTTTTTAGTTTTGTATGGTATATTTAGTTATTTTTAAATCAAGAAATATTGAAAAAAAATCAATCTTAAGACTATCTTATAAAAGAATAACAAGTTACAAATAATAAATGTTGTTAAAAATTTCTTTATTAGAACTGAACGCTCCGAAATTTGAGAATCACGATCCCGACGTTATTTTTCGTGCAAGAGAAGTAACCCGTGTATATCAAAGGTCACGTCCACTTGCATATATGGATTAAAAAAAAATAATTTCTAATCAAATAAATTTTAATTTATGCTATTAATCTCGAATAAAAGTGAAGTTTTTTTCATTCAAAGTCAGCAATACGTTTCTTTCAAAACTTTCTAGTATTTTCAACAGCCTATGAACATATTGTAAATCTTCATCGGGAAAAAATGGATGAAAAAGGTCAAATTTTGCAAAATAGAAAAAAAACTCTGAATTGTGCAGCTTCCCGTGATGTCAATATTTTGTGACATTTTGTAGACATACACAATTTCTTCAAAAGAGTGAGGGGGATAAACACTGACAAGTCATTTGTCGCACGTACCCCCCTACAAACTGAGTTTTACGCTGGAAATTTTTGTTTTTAGCCTATATCATATTTGATAAATAAATGAACATTGGATTATGAAAAAATGAATGAATTATTATTAAATATATATCATGTATATATCATGTTTTTTTTTTCTTCTTTGAAAGTCTTGAAGAATGCCAACACATTTCCAGTGATAAAGAATATATAAGATTGTCTTGAACCGTTATACGGCAATCTTTGGTATAAATTCAAAAATGACTTTGGACAACACATTTGTATTAGACTCCGCATTATATCAATCTTGACTATAACTTTTGAAAGTTTGGTGCTGGGTCTTTCATATTTATCAGATATATCCACTGACACATCGAGTCCTTAATTTCTACTGACAACAATATTTTGATTTCTTGACCTTGAAGTCTACTTGTATTTAAAAAGCTTAAATTAACCTCTGCTAAAAGTTGCCATACATGTACAGGGACCGTCATCAGTGCATGTTTCAACTACCTGAACTAATTATGAATCATTAAACTTTAAGATATTTGTTTAACAATGGAAAGAAACTGTATAAGTTGAAAACATGACAAGAAAGTTTCAAAATTACTCTATTTTATAGCATGAGTTGTCACCATTCTACAAGCAGAAGGCGGGCGGATCTCCTTATTTTGGTTTTAATCGTCTCTTAGATTCTCCCCGTCTCTTACTCCCAGAGTTCGGTGATACAGACCCTGCTATATAGTCACTGCTGCTATCTCCCAGTTAACTTCCAACACAGGTAAGGGACGCAGATCAGTTTCCCGCAATTTTTTTTTATTTCTTCAAAAGCATGGAGACAAGAATCATATATGACCAAAACACACACACACACACACACACACACACACACACACACACACACACACACACACACACAAAACACAAACAAACCAAAGGAAAGAAAAATTAGAATTAAAAGTAAGGTTTTAAAACTATTAAAACCAGATATTTTTTCCCTGAGGATCACATCCCCGTGATGAGTAGAGTAACTTATCTGTGTATGATTGATTGTATCTTGTTTAACGTCCCTCTCGAGAATTTTTCACTCATATGGAGACGCCACCACTTGACGGTGGAGAGCTGCAAATTTTGTCCTATACTCGGCACTCAGGGCCATTGAGCAGGGAGGGATCTTTTTCGTGCCAGCACCTACTGCGACACGGGACCTCGGTTTATACGGTCTCATCCGAAGGACCGGTCTCCACGTCCCACAGTGGGATTCGAACCCGCGACGTAAGGATTGACTCCTTACTTCGCGACTCTAGAGCAGACGCTCTAACCACTGCGGCACGCGGGCGACTTATCTGTGTAGGTGATGTTTATTCATCACAGAGGTTACATGCATATATATATAATTAAATTATTTTATATGAATTAAATTATCTATTTCTTATTTAGGATTTATAGAGCTATCCATTCCCCAGATGTTAGCCGTTGCATGCATCACGACAGCCATCACCCAGCCTCAGACTCCCCAAACCCAGCCAGTCCTGGGTCCACCATCCATGCCGCCATTCTACTGTGACGCTTACCCGACCTACACCTATGACGCATCTGTTTACGTCTGCTACAGAACGGTCAAAGCGTCACTAATGCAGACGCCGCGTGTAAAGCGGACGGACCTGACGCGCAACGGATACGCATCACCAACCCTGAAGTGTACAACTTTGTAATTCCAATTTCTTTCACCACCAATTTTTTGATATTCAACACTACATTTCCCTCATATCGATTCACTTTAGTATAAAGTGTGTGCGGGGGGGGGGGGGGGGGCAACCAGCCTTTCACTGAACATTTCCAATAGTAAAAGTATAATGATTGGGAAAAAAGTGGGGGGGATGGTGCTTCCCCCCTGTTGCTACGTGCCTGAATTGTCATATTCCAAATTTTTCGGCAGTTCAATAAAACCAAGATCAATGCTCATTGCATCAGATTTGCCCATTTTCGCTGTTTGAGTGCAAGCGCGCAAAATGCTCCATAAAAAGTATTATATACATGTATGAACAATATATTATGAGCGCATGCTACTATATGTATGTCAGGTGACAAACCATATTAGGAAATTATTGTTTTTGGAGCTTGTACATCATCTCTCTGCCATATTAGGAAATCTGAGAGTGCTATGCTACATGTGACTTGCCGTATACATGTAAGTTTTTACTTAGGTTTCTCTAGATACCCTATAGAGAGGTTAAAAGGTCACTTGAATGCTGCGCCTTCTCGTGACCTTTTAATTTCTCTATAGGGTAGAAGTAATGTACCTAAATACAAAAAGCCCACCCAAAATACAATTGAATGGAGGAGATCAAAAATACATATTATTTTACATACCTTGGAAGTGTGGTAACATCAGATGGCGGAGCTGACAAGGACATAATATCAAGATTAGGTAAAGCCAGAGGAGCCTTTGTCAAGCTTAAGAATATTTGGAAGTCAAGCAGCATTAGCAGACATACTAAGATCAAATTGTGTAATAGCTGTGTACTATCTGTCTTAATGTATGGTGCCGAATGCTGGAGGATGACTGAAAGTGACAGTAAGAAGCTATCAAGTTTTCATAATGGGTGCCTCAGAAAGATCTTAAGGATATTTTGGCCAGCAAAAATAACCAACAAAAATTTATCTTATTTGGTTGAAGAGCTTAATTAAAATTTGTTTTTCTTGTTTTTGTATATGATATAGGTTTTATCACACCTTTGAAATAATTAATTTTATTGAAATATAACTAATTTTATTTCAGATTTCTTTGGTATCAGCAACATTATTCCAAGGAAGCAGGGCCAGTAGCTGGTTCCCCTTCCTTTACGACGACGGAACACCGGTACGTAACATCCCAGATAGCAAGACATAGTTGGGCCAACGTTGGCCCAATTTTTTTTCCAACGTTTGCCCACGGTTGGTAACCTTACGTTAGCCCACGGTAATTTTGCTCATCGGCCCAACGTTGGTCCAACATGTTGGCATATTGTTGGGCCAACGTAGGTATAATTGTATGACAACTAACAGCCAACCTTAATAACTGGTTGGTTAGGTTGGCCCAACGTTGGCCCTTTGTTGAAATGTGAGATGGCATATTGTTGGGCCAACGTAGTTATTAGTGTATGCCAACTAGCAGCCAACCTTAACAACTGTTTGGTTAGGTTGGCCCAACGTTGGCCCTATGTTGAAATGTCAGATGGCATATTGTTGGGCCAACGTAGTTTTTAGTGTTTGCCAACTAACAGCCAACCTTAACAACTGGTTGGTTAGATTGGCCCAATGTTGACCCTTTTTTACAATGTCAGATGGCAAATTGTTGGGCCAACGTAGTTATTACATAGAAACATTTGCAATTGGTTAAGTGATGCTTTACATAAACCTATTTTATGACTGTTTAAAAAAATTAATACACAATGCAATCTGCATTCATAATGCATACATGGACATGTTCAATGAAAACATTACTAATGATTCACTGTGAAAATATTTTATATACATCAATTCAATCATAATTTACAAAATAAATTTCAAAATAGACAATAGAGGTAAATTATGAAAAAATATCAATTCAAAGTTCTTCATCAGGGCTCACTTCCTTTATTACTGTCCTTTTGTTGTATTCCCGCTCTTTTTCCGTCCTTTGTCGCCTCCCATTTTCTTCATCTTGATCTTTGTCATACGTACTCGTACTTTATACACCTCTTTATGTATGGTCTTCGATTTAATTGTTATTTACCGCCACAACATTTGTTTTCCTTGCAGTCTCTGACTGAAAATACAAAACAGTTTGATATTAGAAACAATACAATTACTGGTCCAACTTATGAATAAATATTACTTCAATCTTTTAATAAAGAGAATGATGTATTATACTATTAGTGCACCTTAATTTCCTTGTTACAATCGTGTCTGTAATAGACAGTTAAAAATTAGATAGAAACAACTTAAAAGATGTTATTTTAATAACCTTAATTTACAGTGCTTGTGTTCAATAACATGAAAAGAATGAATTCCGAATCAATTTTAACAGTTAATCTGAATAAATAAGAATAAATATACTTACATCGCATCTAAATGCATCTATAGCAAGTGTATAATCCACAAATTTAAATTTCACTTCTTCTTGCTTGCCCTGCATTTTCAGTCTATGACCTCACCACCTGTGAGCAATTGAATCTGAAAGCTCCCCGTACGAAAGTTGGAGGCGGAATAGGCAAGGCTTCGGCACGGCTAAGACACGGAATCCGCACGGGTTTTTAAAAAGCCGCACGGGTTCTGCATGTCCAAGACACGGACACGGCTTCCGTGTCTGAAATTGAGGAATCCTCACTCACAGAAATCCGTGTGGAGGCACGGAATCCGTGTCCCTGGGAGACGGTTTTTTTTAACTCT